TTTGGGCCGGAAAACAGCCCAAAAATTTGGGGGGAAAAAAAAAAAAAATTCCTTTTTTTTCCCAGGACCTACAAAAAAATTTCCCCCCCCAAAAAAAAAAAAATTTTTTTTTTTTTCCCCCAAAAAAATTTAAAAAAATTTTTTTTTTTTTTTTTAAAAAAAAAAAAAAATTTTTTTTTTTTTTTTTTTTTCCCCCCCCCCCCCCCGGGGGGGGGGAAAAAAAAAAAAAAAAACCCCAAAAAAAATTTCAAAAAATTTTTTTTCCACTTTTTTAAATTTTTAAAAAAAATTTAAAAACAAAAAAAAAAAAAAAAACCCCAAAACCCCCCCCCCCCAAAAACCCCCCCCCCCCAAAAAAAAATTTTTTTCCCTTTTTTAAAAAAAAAAAAAAAAAAAATTTTTTTTAAAAAATTTTTTGGGTTTTTTTTGGGTTTTTGGGGAAAAAAACCTAAAAAACCCTAAAAAAAAAAAAAAAAAAAAAAAAAAAATTTTTTTTTAAAAAAAAAATTTTAAATTTTTTTTTTAAAAAAAAATTTAACCAAAAATTAAAAAAAAAAATTTTTTAATTTAAAAACCCCTTTTCCCGGAAGAAATTTTTTTTTTCCCCCCCTTTTTTCCCTTTTTAATTTTTTTTTTTTTTTTCCCCCCCCCCAAAAAAATTTTTTAAAAAAATTTTTTTTTTTTTTTTTTTTTTTAAAAAAAACCCCAATAAAAAAAATTTTTTTTAAATAAAAAGGGCCCAAAAAAAAAATTTTTTTTTTTTTAAAAAAATTTTTTTTTTTTTTAAAAAAAAGGTTTTTTAAAAAATTTTTTAAAAAAATTTTTTTAAAAAAAAAAAAAAACCCCCCAAAAAAAAAAAGGGGGGGGGAAATTTTAAAAAAAAAAAAAAAAATTTTGGGGGAAAAGGGCCTTTAAAAAATTTTTATCAACAACCCCCCCCCCCCCCAAAAAAAAAAAAAAAAAAAACAGTCTCTCCCTTTTAAAATTTTTAAAAAGGAATTTTTTATTAACCCCCCCTTGCTCCCCGGTATTTTGTAATGTATACAGGAAAATTCTGTTCCACCCCTTCCCCCATTGGGGAACATGGAAACAAAAATGATGTTTTAAAAGTGCAAAGTTTGCTCTCCAGAAACTTTTAAACTGTAACGCATAATAAAGTTTCCGGAGGGGCGAAATTCACCACAATAAAATGTCTTTATTAAATTTTCACTTGGGGGGATTTTTAAAACCCAACATATTTCGGGAAATTTTACCAACATTATTACAAGAATTTGATTTAAAAAAAAAAAAAGACTATAACCATATTTACAATAAAACAGTTAAATAAATGTGTATAGTACACTAGCCCCCTCTTACAAGTTCCCCTTTTTTTGACATTGAAAACTGGAAAATAATTTAGAACATAAATTGGGGCCCTTTTTATGCATGGGAGACTTTTCCGCCGCTGAAAACGGCCCCCATGGCAATGGAAAACGGTGTTGAGTTGTTTACAAAATTCCTTCTGCCAAAAAGTTTGGTTTCCCCTAAAGCCTTTTCCAAACAAGTTAAAAGTAACACTAAACTCGTCATATTGAATGAGACAAACCAAAGGAAACAAAAAAAAGTGTGGGTAAACCCCAAAATTTTAGTTTTTTAACAAAAACCCTTTTGGGTTTCTTTTCATTTTTAAAAATTTTGAAACCCCAAAAAAGGGCCAAAAAGACAAACCAGAATTTTTAAAATTTTCCCCCTTTAATTTGGGGGCTTTTTCAGTTTTAAAAAATATATTTTTTTAATGCAAACCCGTCATTCCCCCTGAGGGAAAGGGGACTTAAAAAAAAAAAACAGAAGTTATTTTTAAAAAAGGGGGTTTTTAATGTATACCTTTACGGGAATTTTTTTTAATACTGTTTAGGTAAATATTTTTTTGTTTAAAAAAAATTTAAAAAAGAAAGCAGAACATTAAGCTTGGAAAGCAAAAAAAAAATTCGATTTTTTTAAAACCCCACGGGGGGTGCTGTGGAAAATAGGTTCAAAACTGAAACGGCTGACTTTGGGCAAAAAATTTCAGGAAAGCATTAATGTCGTAATTGGGAACTCCCGAAAGTAACAATGAAAAAAGGAAAGTTATGTTACGCACTCAAACGCAGCAATTTTGAGTACAGTAACACCAAACCCACCTGGAGAAGGGAGGTAAAAGGGCCACCTGCCCCAGTAAAATCCCTTAAAAACCCCCATAAATGCACCCTTTCACTTATCAAAAGCATTTGTTTCAGACAAGACTAAGTCCCAGTTTACAAGCCAAAACAAACTGCTCGTTCAACGGCTTAGTGAGACTCAAAAATAAAAAGTAAAACCCCAAGGGCTGTCCCATGAGCCACATTTAAAAAAAAATGCCCCCTGACTTGGTTATTTCTTATGTAAATTTTATATTAGCACAAAGGGGGCCCTTTCCCCCCTGTTTTGCCAGACTCCCAAAACAAATGGAGTGAGTGATGATGAAGTTTTTTCTTTTTTTTTTTTGGTCACCCCGCCTCCGTAGGGAAAAGGCCTAGTCATGGCACTTGGTTTTTTTCTGAAAATTTTTAACAAGAAGAAGTAAACCCAAAATACAGTAGAAACCCCAATATCCGTGGGGGATGTTTTTCCAAGACCTACGTGGAAAATCCGAAACTGTGGGAGTGCAAACAAAAAAAAATGTATTCATTTTTTTGGGCATACATAACCCATGATAAAACTTTAAATTAAAAATTATGTAAAAAAAACTTTAATTAGCCCCTTTTTTACTGTGAAGCTTTAGGACTTTCAAGGCCTTTTAAGAACGCCCGCATCACTACTTTTTTCACTTTTTTTGGGGTCATTGTTAACAAAATTAAATTAATTTTTAGGCCACAAATAAACCGCGGATACCGGGGTTCAAAGGAAAACGGGTCCTACGTACTGGAAATAATCAGGTCCCCTAAAAATATCTTCAACCAAAGGGAATGGCTTCAAATTGTGCAATAAGTTATTAGGGAATAAACCTTGCAACAATTTCTTCCCCGTATTTTCTAAAAAATTTTGAAAACTATTTATTTTAAGAAGCTGAAGGGGATTTGGGGATGTTGAAAAGGGAAATTAAAGGGGGGAAAAAAAAATGGGATTAACATTTTTTTAGGTTTTTTCAACAGCAAAAAAAAGGTGGGGATACAAAACTTAGAAAAAACAGACCAAAATTTTACTAGAAAGTTATTTAGCAAAGGGGAGGGCCTTGGGCATGGACTGGGGTGTGGGGGCGTTGACCCCGAAAAACCCCGCCCCCAGAAACACTTTTAGGTAACATAGTGGGAAAACTGAAGGAGATTAAATAAAATCAAGGGGTGCATCACCAAAATGGAATGACTGGGAAAGTTTCATTAATGTGTGTATGTTAGTTTACATTTAAAAAGTGTATGATGGTATGGGTTCATTAAAAAAGTGTAAAGATTGGTAAGTTAACATTAACAAGTTTTATGTTGGTTTTTTACATTAACAAGTGAAAAGATTGGGAAAGTTTCAATTTTAAAGTGTGTATTTAAATTTGGGATTTACATTAACAGGTATGATTGGGGATGTTTCATTAACAAGTTTAAAGATTGGGTATTAAAATTAAAAAGTGTATGATTGGTATGTTTTTCATTAACATGTGTATGAATTTGGGATGTTACATTAACCTGTTAAAGATTGGTATGTTTTCATTAACGGGGATGATTGGTATGTTTCATTAACATGTTTTAAGGGTTTGGGAAGTTAAAATTAACCTGTTTATGAAATTTAATGTTTTCATTTAAATGTGGAAGGAAAGGGGAAGAAACATTAACAAGGGATGATTGGGGAAAGTTACATTTAAAATGTGTAGGGTTTGGGATGTTACCTTAACGTGTGTATGATTGGTTTTTACAATTTAAAAATGAGTATGGAATTTGGGGAAGTTTACATTTAAAGTGTTTTATGGAAGATGCAGGAGTATTGAAAATGGGGGGAGGAAAACCATTCCTAATTTTAAAAATTAAGGGAGAAAATGTAAAAAATTAAGGGAAATAATTAAAATTTTTTCCCTGGAAAGTAAGGGGGTCCCCAAAGGACTGAAAAAGGGGTGCTATGGATATTTCAGTTCCCCGAGGGCATGTGTGTGGCAAAACAAGAGAATTTTTTGGGCTTTAAAAGTTTCAGTTAAGGGGAGGAAAAGGGAACATTTATGTAAGCCCTTCATAAATTTCAAGGGGCCCTTTGGCCCTCCAAAAAGTGGTGTGAATATGCTGGATGGAGTGGGGTGGAGGCAAGTGGATTTTAGACCTGACAAGCGTTGGAAATGTGAACAAGCAAAAATTTTTTGAAAAGGGAAAACCGGTTTAAACCCGGGTAGGGGTGGACCCCGAGTCCGGGGGTAGGAAATACAAGCCAGCACTCTGAAGGAAAGTGGGGGGTCTGGGAAATTTGGAGGGTCAACTGAACGCAGTAAGGGACCCCCCCTGGCAAAACGGGGGATGGTAAAAGCCCTTCTTTTTTTGGTCAAACCCCACCTAGGGGGGAAAATGACAAGTGAAAAAAAAAAAAACTGGAAAACCAGGCAAGTTTTGGAAAATCCCAAATCCCCTTTTTTTGAAATCTGAGGAATAGAATATTTCAATGTAGTAAATTATTTAAAAACCCCTTTAACCCGTCCGAAAAAATAAAAATCTTAAAGGTTGCACTGCTACACTTTTTAATGTATATCTAAGTATTATTTTTTCATGCTTTCAAATGTAAAAAAAAAAAAAAAAAAAAAAAAAAAAAAAAAAAAAAAAAAAAAAAAAAAAAAAAAAAAAATACGTAGATCTACATTCGGAGTGCTAGCAGAGTGGTATAAACCTTGGTAATAAATACCGACAAGTTGGTTTAGAAAGACACGTAAGCAAACACTATAACATATTTATTAGAAAACGTTTCGGTCCTGGGACCTTGATCACTTCTCAAGTGATCAAGGTCCCAGGACCGAAACGTTTTCTAATAAATATGTTATAGTGTTTGCTTACGTGTCTTTCTAAACCTGCTAGCAGAGTAAACGTAGATCTACGTTTGGACAGTTTAAGGGTTAAATTACAGTACACATGTACTTGTGGGACAATTTCAGTGACTTAAGGCAAACCTGAATACAATACCTGCTGGCCAAACTACGTGGGAATATTTCAATACTGAGAGTATGTATATGGAGGAATATTTAGGTCATTTATTAAGAGATTGAAATTTCTAAATAAGAATCTACAATCACAGCTTCATATATATGAAGCAGCCAAGACTTCCTTGTGGTAATACTATATGAAGAACAGCAACCATGCAATATAAGATAGACAGATGGTATCAGAGGACAAAGAAAAGAAATATGGCAAATGGGTGAAGACAAATTTGGGATGGTTGAACACACAGAATAGATGAAACAGATGCAAGAACAAGCAAAAAAAAAGTAAACAAGGGGATAGAATTGGTGTGCCTCTGGCAAGACAGTGATGTAGCGAGTGATGGCGAAAGTGTTTCTTCTTATTTGGGTCACCCGGCCTTGGTGGGACACGGATGACGTATTAAAAGAAAAACAAGGGGGAGGGGGGATGTTAAAAAGACTGGCAGGCAGGTAACATCATTAACACCATAGAAAGGAAGAGTCAAGTACAGCAAAGTCTCACTGAACACTGGATTGTTAAAAGAAAAATTGTGTAAATATTCTACTTTAGATATATAGTATGATACAAACATTATACTACACTACAATACTGAAAGCAGTATTATACTACAGTATAATACCATAAGCAGTATTGTACTATACTACATTATAATACCATAAGCGGTACTGTACTACACTGCATAATACCATAAGACATGTAATATTCACCAAATATAGGCTACAATAATATGCGTCAAACTTTAAGAAAAAATAATGTTTTAATTCTTGAAGATGGGCTACCATGTTAAGTCTTTTAACATGCACAGGGGCATGGAAAACAGAATTTTGAGTTCATAATAAGTTAATTTGAGGTTTGCTTACATACCAGGAAGACCCAGTGAGGACAGAGTAGGCAAGAAGAATATGGGGAGACAAACCCACCATCAGGGGCCTCCAGTTGTGCCACTACCTCAGGAGTGGTCAGGGAAATATAAACAATATATCCTACACAGTGGTCAGTTTAACATGACTCAAAATATTTAGAAGGCGGTGTGTTCCACACGGCACTAGAAGTGCGTTTGAAGAATCTCCTACGTTGTTTGTCAAACATTTTGGTAAGATCAGGCACAAGAAGTAGTACCGATGGGGGAAAGATCTCCTCAATGACAGGTGGGTAGTGTTCCTGGTTGATCACAGAATAAGTCAGCTCAGGTTCTGTAAAGCAGAAAAGCAAAGATTATATACAAGATAGTTTCTTTACAGTACCAATTCTTGCATAATTCTCACTTTGATTCTTAAGAATGGATTTCAGTGTGCTAATAAGTATTTACCAGAGGCACATTCTATACAGTCCTCCTGAATTGTGTATAATAATGATATTATCCACAATATGGAAGATTCTCAACGTGTTTTTTAAGTAGAGGATTTACTGTATTTCACACACATCTTGTGCATGATTAAAAGCTATGTAAAAATAAATGGAATTTGTTCAACACTTACTTGTTGCCCAAGAAGGAACCTTCTTCCTAGGCTTGCTCTCCTCATCGGTCGAGTCATCACTCTTCATATCATCTATACAATAGTTGTTCTCTGACGGATCTTTCTTTCTAGTCTTTGTATTCTTTGTTGCTGTCGCGCAAGTGTAATTGGACTGGTTAACGTCCAAGAGTTTTGTGAATGTGCTATTGAGGCCACCGTTTTCCTTATTGTCAGTGGCGGTATAAGTGTCATTTAATGCAGCCTGAAAGAACATCACATAGAAAAATATAAAAAAAATTAAGGAGGGGAATGAGTAATAAAGAAATAATGCAATAACAAGGCTTCCTGTCTTCAGAAGAATGAATGTTAAAGAGGGAATATGATCAAGATACATGCTATCATAGCCAGGCAGTGACTTAGGTAGTAGGTTAGTAGACAGCAACCGCCCAGGGAGGTACTACCATGCTGCCGAGTGAGTGTAAAACACAAACCTGTAATTGTTTTACATGATGGTAGGATTGCTGATGTTTTTTTTGTCTCAGAAACATGCAAGATTTCAGGTACATCTTGCTACTTCTACTTTCACTTATGTTACACTGCACATACATTTTTTTTTCTCAACAAGTTGGCCGTCTCCCACCGAGGCAGGGTGACCCAAAAAGAAAATACTTTCATCATCATTCAACACTTTCACCACACTCACACATAATCACTGTTTTTGCAGAGGTGCTCAGAACACAACAGTTTAGAAGCATATACGTATAAAGATACACAACATATCCCTCCAAACTGCTAATATCCCAAAACTCCTCCTTTAGAGTGCAGGCATTGTACTTCCCATTTCCAGGACTCAAGTCCAGCTATATAAAAATAACTGGTTTCCCTGAATCCTTTCACTAAATATTACCCTGCTTACACTCCAACAGATCGTCAGGTCCCAAATACCATTCGTATCCATTCACTCCTATCAAACAGGCTCATGCACGCCTCCTGGAAGTCCAAGCCCCTCGCCCACAAAACCTCCCTTACCCCTTCCTTCCAACCTTTTCGAGGACAACCCCTACCCCACCTTCCTTCTCCTACATATTTAAATGCTCTCCATGTCATTCTACTTTGATCCATTCTCTCTAAATGACCAAACCACCTCAACAACCCCTCTTCAGCCCTCTGACTAATACTTTTATTAACTCCACACCTTTTCCTAATTTCCACACTCCGAATTTTCTGCACAATATTTACACCGCACATTGCCCTTAGACAGGACATCTCCACTGCCTCCAACCGTCTCCTCGCTGCTGCATTCACAACCCAAGCTTCACACCCATATATGAGTGTTGGTACTACTATACTTTCATACATTCCCTTCTTTGCCTCCATAGATAACGTTTTTTGACTACATATATACCTCAACGCACCACTCACCTTTTTTCCCTCATCAATTCTATGATTAACCTCATCCTTCATAAATCCATCCGCCGACACGTCAACTCCCAAGTATCTGAAAACATTCACTTCTTCCATATTCCTCCTCCCCAATTTGATATCCAATTTTTCTTCATCTAAATCATTTGATACCCTCATCACCTTACTCTTTTCTATGTTCACTTTCAACTTTCTACCTTTACACACATTCCCAAACTCATCCACTAACCTTTGCAATTTTTCTTTAGAATCTCCCATAAGCACGGTATCATCAGCAATTCCGTCAATTTTCCATCAAAATTCATGCTTTTTGTTTTATTACCTTCAGGAAATGATTCTCTACCGTTTCACAAGAAAAAATAATTTTGCTTTGAAAATTCCTGTGGACAAGTTTTAGATCAAGGGTCTGGACCCTGATAGTTAACATATGATAGCACAAACATGCTATCAGGCTTCTATATGCATTTGAAAATGAAAAAAGGCCATGTTTTGCAGTAGCTCGGAACCTAACCTGCTGTATAAGCGGGTCCTACATTAGCCTGGAACTTAACCTACTGTATAAGCAGAGTCCTACAATAGCCCAGAGCCTAACTTGCTGTATGAGCAGTACAGTGGCCTGGAACCTAACCTGATGTATAAGTGAGTTCCTACAGTAGCCCAGAACCTAACTTGCTGTATAAGCTGTATGGATTATTTCTTATACCTTTTTTCATCTCAACTTTTATACAATACATTGAGCTCATTTCAATCCAGCAAACATTTCCCATACATTTTTTCTGCTTTGTGAGTTTCATTAGAGAACATCACAAGTACTAACCTTCGGAGCTGCCGTAGGAGATATTTTATTTTGGTTTTTCTCGGGAACGCGCTCTGCTTCACGTAATCGAAGCCTCTCTAATTCTTTCTTCTCACGGAAAATACGCTCCACTTCAGCTATTCTTCTGAAAATTTTTTTTTCTATATTATGTTTGGGTTCAGCGCTTAACATGAATAAAAAAAAATCAGTAAATGCAACAAAGAATCTCTAGAAGATATTCAGAACCTAAGTCACACTGAAGCAGATAGTTCCAACCACAAACTCTCAGGTTACAAATGAAGACAGAATGACATTTTCTTCTGCCATAGGCCATTATAAAGCCATGAATGAAGTGGCTTACATTGGCCTGGAGTTTTACGACTCACTCGCCATGTGTTTAAACCCTAACTGTTCCGTGTTTTATTTTATGAAATATAAAACACCCACTCACCGTTTTTTCTCTTCTTCCTGTAATCGCCGTTGTTCAGCCAGATGAGCACGCTTCTCTTCCTGTTTTCTTTCTTCTTCAGCACGTTTCTCTTCTTCCATTAACCGTTTTGTCTCTTCTTCCTGCTTTTGTCGTTCCTCTTCACGCTATGATTTATAAACGGGCTTAAAATTTTTCTCAATAGCAAACACTACTATATAACATCCAACATTATACATATATAAAAAACTCCTATTTTCTATCAGTGCAATCTTCACTATCTCCACGAGGAACGGGAGAAGAATTCTTCCTCTGTAAGCCATATGTCATAAGAGGCGACTAAAATGCAGGGAGCAAGGTGCTAGTAACATCTTTTGCATAAATTACTCAAGTTAAATTTTTTTTTTTCTATTTAGGTCACCCTGCCTTGGTGGGATGCTGTAACTAGGTTCAGCTAGTCTTACGTGTAGTTCAAAAAAAAAAAAAAAAAAAAAAAAAAAAAAAAGTGCTGAATATTCTTCAACACACTAGCTGTATCCCACTGAGGCAGAGTGACCGAAAAAAGAAACATTAAGTTTTTCTTTTAAAATTTAGTAATATATACGGGAGAATGGGTTACTAGTTCCTTGCTCCCGGCATTTTAGTCACCTCTTATGACATTCATGACTTATGGAGGAAGGAACGAGTCTTCTTGAGGTTATCAGTCCCCCAGCCTGGACTGAGGGACTGATTGCCACAAGTCCTCCTCATGATGAGGACTTTCAGGTAATCAGTCCCTCAGCCTGGAGTTGATTCCAGTCTGAGGGACTGACTACCTCAAACTCATCCTCCTCCTCATCTTCCACCTTTCTCTGTGCAGGACTGAAGAAGTCACAGCCTGGTGAAACATTTCCAAGATAAAAATGGCCAAATATTACACAAGTCTCAATAATCATCTTTATGGTCGTATAAACCATTTATTCACACAAATAACCCGCACATAAAAGAGAGAAGCTTACGACGACGTGTCGGTCCGACTTGGACCATTTACAAAGTCACTTTGTAAATGGTCCAAGTCGGACCGACACGTCGTCGTAAGCTTCTCTCTTTTATGTACGGGTTATTTGTGTATCGTTCCAGTCACTGTATTGTGCCTTTTTTTTTGTTATTTATTCACAATTTTTTTTGAGTGGGTCAATTGTTTAACAAATGACGCTCTCCCTTGATGTGTCTTATCCACTCTTCTCTAAAAAATTTTTTACCAGCATTTTTAAAACAATTCTTGTCACCGAGGCCTTAGATTAAGGATCCGCCGTACCTCCTTACATAAATACTGATGCAATATCTGCCATTCTCCATTAGTCCTTCAATATATCTTGAGGTTATTGCAACCACGAACAGGTGGCGTTTAATCAATAACAACATGACGGCTATTCGGAGGATCGAACCCATGTTGTGTTAGCCTGCCTCATGGCAAGTGATAATTCACAATGCTCTAAACCACTGGACAAGTGGTTTACAGCATTGTGAATTTTCGCTTGCCCTGAGGCGGGCTAAAACAACACTGGTTCAATCCTCCGGCTAGCTGCAGTGTTGTTATTGATGTCTTGAGGTAAAATAACCCCGAAATTTCTGAGTGGAAGCAGAAATAACTGCAGTACAAAACATACCTGTTCTCTAATCTTGCGAAGTTTTGCTTCCTCTTCTGCACGTTTCTTGGCGAGAAGCTGTTGCTTTTTACGTTGCTGTTCCTCTTTCTGCCGCTCCTCTCTAATCTTCCTCTCCCTCTCTTGCTGTTCCTTGGCCTCCACTGCTTTACGTTCCCTCTCCTCACGTGCTTCTTGAACTCTCTTCATCCTAATTTCATTTTGTCTGTTGAGAAAGGCTGAGTTGATAACTACTTCCAGCATTAATACCACCAAATAATATAAGCTTCAGGAAACATGTACAACCAAATATAGAAATCTTCAAGAGGAAATTGGACAAGTATCTTCAGCGGGTCAGATCAACCTGGCTGTGATAGATATGTGAGACAGTGGACCACCAGCAGCAACAACCTGGTTGACCAGGCAAACACCAGATGAGCCTGGCCCATGGCCGGGCTCCAGGAGTAGAAAAACTCTTGGAACTTATCAAAGGCAACGTTAATAAATTAAAAACCTATTTTGGCAGAAAAAAAGATAAGGAAAACAGCCATCACTGAGAGAAATGTAACCTGTTAAAGCTTTTGCACTCTTGCAGGACTTCTATTTAAGATGACACGTACATAATAGTCATAGTTCTTACATTCAGGAAATTATAGCTAAGCCTATATTGAATATAAATAGAAGTTTGTATTTGCTGAAGAGGACCCCAGCAAGGGGTTGAATTTTTTTTTTTTAACACGTCGGCCGTCTCCCACTGCGGCAGGGCGACCCAAAAAGAAAAAAAATACTTTCATCATTCAACACTTTCACCTCACTCATACATAATCACTGTCTTTGTAAAGGCGTTCAGATATGACAGTTTAGAAGTCCTCCAAACTGCCAATATCCCAAACCCCTACTTTAAAGTGCAGGCATTGCACTTCCCACCTCCAGGACTCAAGTCCACCTAACTGGTTTCCCTAAATCCCTTCACATAATATTACCATGCACATACTTTAACAGCTTATTATGTCCCAAAAGCCATTTGCCTCCACTCACAACAAGTACATTGTCTAAGCAGGAAAGAAACCTTTGCTTGCTCCTAAATACTAATGGATAAGTTGCTACTGTTAATATACTAGTAAGGAGGAACTAAGCCCTAGAAGTTCATAACAGCATCTGATGAATGGTAGGAAATCAGGACAACTCCAAGTCATAGGAATTTGAATATCCAGTATACATGCACAGTGAATGGAGACGAATGGTTTACGGAACTTGACGAGCTGTTGGAGTGTTAGCAGGGTAACATATTGTGAAGGGATTCAGGTAAACTGGTTAGCCGGACTTGAGTCCTGGAAGTGGGAAGTACGATGCCTGCACTTTAAAGGAGGGGTTAGGGATATTGGCAGTTTGGAGGGACATCTAAATTGTCGTATCAGAACACCTGTAAAAAATGATAAATATCGCAATCCCAGGTCAGTCATTAAAAAAGGACATATATCACAATCATGTAGCTAAGTTTTTAAGTCTATGGCAGTATGGCAAGGAGTACCATGTTGCATAAAGTTACCTTGGTACTTCTCAAAACTGTCAGGCAAATTATCTACTAAGAGCGTACTCACGCTAGTGCATATCAACAACTACTGTATCCCCGACTCCAAACAATTTGGAGAAAAAAAAAAAAAAAAAAAAAAAAAAAAAAATCTATCTTTGACTAACCTTTTCTTCTCTTCTACTCTCAATTTCATTAATTCTTCTTTCTTTTTTCTTGTTTCATCTTCTCGTTCCCTCCTCTTTGCTAGTTCTATCTGTCTTATTTCTTCCAGTTCTTCCCGCGATGGTTTGGCTGGTTGCACTTTAATAAATGATGATAAACCGCTCACTATGTTCCCTGCGCGCTTCCCTTCATTTGGAGTATTACCTATTTTCTGTGGGAGTAAGAAATTACAAAATGTATACACTTTGATACGACACACGTGCAACAGTTAGGTATCTTTAATGCAAAGCGTTTTGCCTACACAGTAGGCTTCTTCAGTGGAATACAGAGGAGACAGTACAAGCAGTAGAGATGTAAAGATGATATAATCAGTCCATCACCCTTGAAGGCATAGTTCTGAGGTTGTCAGTCCCTCAGCCTGGAGAAGAAGGGACTAACTCAAAACTATGTCTTTGAGGGTGATGGACTGATTACATCGACTGTCAATGAATATGTAAATAAACATATAATTACTATAACTAAATACCAGAATTGAAAAGTAAATAAATGAATACAAGTTACAGACTTGCTACCTTCATGCTGGGTAATTATCTTAAGTTTCACCTCAAAAGTAATTGCTTTTGTACCGTTGTAAAATCAAAACCTTTATTAATGATTACAAAATAATCTGCATATATAACCTTCAGAGTTTTATTTTGCTCTCCTGAAGACGATGAAGTTAAACACAGCTGTCGAATTTTTGAGTACGTTTTTGGCGTAATACGACCGGAGCTTCCGAAGGTGCTATTATTGCTGCCAAGCATCCGATGCATATTTGGGCGCACCACCTGCGTAAATATGAATGGTTAATGCAAATATGTTTTGTACACTTCATGGGGAACTGGAGAAGAATCCTTCCTCCGTAAGCCATGCATGTCCTAAGAGGCAACTAAAATGTCGAGAGCAAAGTGCTAGTAACACCTTCTTCTGTACAAATTACTAACTGTACGAAGAAAAACCTTTTTCTTCTTTTTCAGGTTAATCTGCCTTGAGAGACAGCTTGTGTTACAGGAGGTGTTACTAGCACCTTGTTCCCAGTATTTAGTAATGTAAACGTGAGAAGGTGTTACTAGTACCTTGCTCCAGGTATTTAGTAATGTAAACCTGAGAAGGTGTTACTAGCCCCTTGCTCCTGGTATTTAGTAATAGATACATGAGAAGGTGTTACTAGCACCTTGTTCCCAGTATTTAGTAATGTAAACCTGAGAAGGTGTTACTAGCACCTTGCTCCCGGTATTTAGTAATGTAAACCTGAGAAGGTGTTACCAGCACCTTGCTCCCGGTATTTAGTAATGCAAACCTGAGGTGTTACTAGCACCTTGCTCCCAGTATTTAGTAATGTAAACATGAGAAGGTGTTACTAGCACCTTGCTCCCAGTATTTAGTAATGTAAACCTGAGAAGGTGTTACCAGCACCTTGCTCCCGGTATTTAGTAATGCAAACCTGAGGTGTTACTAGCACCTTGCTCCCGGTATTTAGTAATGTAAACCTGAGAAGGTGTTACTAGCACCTTGCTCCCAGTATTTAGTAATGTAAACCTGAGAAGGTGTTACCAGCACCTTGCTCCCGGTATTTAGTAATGCAAACCTGAGGTGTTACTAGCACCTTGCTCCCGGTATTTAGTAATGTAAACCTGAGAAGGTGTTACTAGCACCTTCCTCCCGGTATTTAGTAATGTAAACATGAGAAGGTGTTACTAGCCCCTTGCTCCCGGTATTTAGTAATGTAAACATGAGAAGGTGTTACTAGCACCTTGCTCCCAGTATTTAGTAATGTAAACATGAGAAGGTGTTACTAGCACCTTGCTCCTGGTATTTAGTAATGTAAACATGAGAAGGTGTTACTAGCACCTTGCTCCCGGTATTTAGTAATGTAAACATGAGAAGGTGTTACTAGCACCTTGCTACCGGTATTTAGTAATGTAAACCTGAGAAGGTGTTACTAGCACCTTGCTCCCAGTATTTAGTAATGTAAACCTGAGAAGGTGTTACTAGCACCTTGCTCCCAGTATTTAGTAATGTAAACCTGAGAAGGTGTTACTAGCACCTTGCTCCCAGTATTTAGTAATGTAAACATGAGGTGTTACTAGCACCTTGCTCCCAGTATTTAGTAATGTATACCTGAGAAGGTGTTACTAGCACCTTGCTCCCGGTATTTAGTAATGTAAACATGAGAAGGTGTTACTAGCCCCTTGCTCCCGTATTTAGTAATGTAAACATGAGAAGGTGTTACTAGCACCTTGCTCCCGGTATTTAGTAATGTATACATGAGAAGGTGTTACTAGCCCCTTGCTCCCAGTATTTAGTAATGTATACATGAGAAGGTGTTACTAGCACCTTGCTCCCAGTATTTAGTAATGTAAACCTGAGAAGGTGTTACTAGCACCTTGCTCCCGTATTTAGTAATGTAACATGAGGTGTTACTAGCACCTTGCTCCGGTATTTAGTAATGTATACATGAGAAGGTGTTACTACACCTTGCTCCCAGTATTTAGTAATGTATACATGAGAAGGTGTTACTAGCCCCTTGCTCCCAGTATTTAGTAATGTATACATGAGAAGGTGTTACTAGCCCCTTGCTCCCAGTATTTAGTAATGTATACATGAGAAGGTGTTACTAGCCCTTGCTCCCGTATTTAGTAATGTATACATGAGAAGGTGTTACTAGCCCTTGCTCCCGGTATTTAGTAATGTATACATGAGAAGGTGTTACTAGCCCCTTGCTCCCGGTATTTAGTAATGTATACATGAGGTGTTACTAGCCCCTTGCTCCCGGTATTTAGTAATGTATACATGAGAAGGTGTTACTAGTCCCTTGCTCCCGGTATTTAGTAATGTATACATGAGAAGGTGTTACTAGTCCCTTGCTCCCGGTATTTAGTAATGTATACATGAGAAGGTGTTACTAGTCCCTTGCTCCCGGTATTTAGTAATGTATACATGAGAAGGTGTTACTAGTCCCTTGCTCCCGGTATTTAGTAATGTATACATGAGGTGTTACTAGCCCCTTGCTCCCGGTATTTAGTAATGTATACATGAGGTGTTACTAGTCCCTTGCTCCCGGTATTTAGTAATGTATACATGAGGTGTTACTAGTCCCTTGCTCCCGGTATTTAGTAATGTATACATGAGGTGTTACTAGTCCCTTGCTCCCGGTATTTAGTAATATATACATGAGAAGGTGTTACTAGCACCTTGCTCCCGGTATTTAGTAATGTAAACCTGAGGTGTTACTAGCACCTTGCTCCCAGTATTTAGTAATGTAAACCTGAGAAGGTGTTACTAGCACCTTGCTCCCGGTATTTAGTAATGTAAACTTGAGAAGGTGTTACTAGCACCTTGCTCCTGGTATTTAGTAATGTAAACCTGAGAAGGTGTTACTAGCACCTTGCTCCCAGTATTTAGTAATGTAAACCTGAGAAGGTGTTACTAGCACCTTGCTCCCGGTATTTAGTAATGTAAACCTGAGAAGGTGTTACTAGTCCCTTGCTCCTGGTATTTAGTAATGTATATATGAGAAGGTAATTTCATGCACTGGTCAGGGAAGTATATCATCTTTTAGGAGTGAAGAAGAGCAGAATGTAAGCGTGGTGGAGGTACGTGAGGCATTACGTAGAATGAAAGGGGGTAAAGCAGCTGGAACTGATGGGATCATGACAGAAATGTTAAAAGCAGGGGGGGATATAGTGTTGGAGTGGTTGGTACTTTTGTTTAATAAATGTATGAAAGAGGGGAAGGTACCTAGGGATTGGCGGAGAGCATGTATAGTATAAAAGGAAAGGGGACAAAAGAGATTGTAAAAATTATATAGGAATAAGTTTACTGAGTATACCATGAAAAGTATACGGTAGGGTTATAACTGAAAGAATTAGAGGTAAGACAGAATGTAGGATTGCGGATGAGCAAGGAGGTTTCAGAGTGGGTAGGGGATGTGAAGATCAAATGTTTACATTGAAGCACATATGTGAACAGTATTTAGATAAAGGTAGGGAAGTTTTTATTGCATTTATGGATTTAGAAAAGGCATATGATAGAGTGGATAGAGGAGCAATGTGGCAGATGTTGCAAGTATATGGAATAGGTGGTAAGTACTAAATGCTGTAAAGAGTTTTTATGAGGATAGTGAGGCTCAGGTTAGGGTGTGTAGAAGAGAGGGAGAATACTTCCCGGTAAAAGTAGGTCTTAGACAGGGATGTGTAATGTCACCATGGTTGTTTAATATATTTATAGATGGGGTTGTAAAGGAAGTAAATGCTAGGGTGTTCGGGAGAGGGGTGGGATTAAATTATGGGGAATCAAATTTAAAATGGGAATTGACACAGTTACTTTTTGCTGATGATACTGTGCTTATGGGAGATTCTAAAGAAAAACTGCAAAGGTTAGTGGATGAGTTTGGGAATGTGTGTAAAGGAAGAAAGTTGAAAGTGAACATAGAAAAGAGTAAGGTGATGAGGGTATCAAATGATTTAGATGAAGAAAAATTGGATATCAAATTGGGGAGGAGGAATATGGAAGAAGTAAATGTTTTCAGATACTTGGGAGTTGACGTGTCGGCGGATGGATTTATGAAGGATGAGGTTAATCATAGAATTGATGAGGGAAAAAAGGTGAGTGGTGCGTTGAGGTATATGGATGTGAAGCTTGGGTGGTAAATGCAGCGGCGAGGAGACAGTTGGAGGCAGTGGAGATGTCCTGTCTAAGGGCAATGTGTGGTGTAAATATTATGCAGAAAATTCGGAGTGTGGAAATTAGGAAAAGGTGCGGAGTTAATAAAAGCATTAGTCAGAGGGCAGAAGAGGGGTTGTTGAGGTGGTTTGGTCATTTAGAGAGAATGGATCAAAGTAGAATGACATGGAAAGCATATAAATCTATAGGGGAAGGAAGGAGGGGTAGGGGTCGTCCTCGAAAGGGTTGGAGAGAGGGGGTGAAGGAGGTTTTGTGGACGAGGGGCTTGGACTTCCAGGAAGTGTGCGTGAGCGTGTTAGATAGGAGTGAATGGAGACGAATGGTACTTGGGACCTGACGATCTGTTGGAGTGTGAGCAGGGTAATATTTAGTGAAGGGATTCAGGGAAACCGGTTATTTTCATATAGTCGGACTTGAGTCCTGGAAATGGGAAGTACAATGCCTGCACTTTAAAGGAGGGGTTTGGGATATTGGCAGTTTGGAGGGATATGTTGTGTATCTTTATATGTGTATGCTTCTAGACTGTTGTATTCTGAGCACCTCTGCAAAAACAGTGATAATGTGCGAGTGTGGTGAAAGTGTTGAATGATGATGAAAGTATTTTCTTTTTGGGGATTTTCTTTCTTTTTTTGGGTCACCCTGCCTCGGTGGGAGACGGCCGACTTGTTGAAAAAAAAAAAAAAAAAAAAAAATTCAGGGAAACCGGTTATTTTCATATAGTCGGACTTGAGTCCTGGAAATGGGAAGTACAATGCCTGCACTTTAAAGGAGGGGTTTGGGATATTGGCAGTTTGGAGGGATATGTTGTGTATCTTTATACGCAGATGCTTCTAAACTGTTGTATTCTGAGCACCTCTGCAAAAACAGTGATAATTTGTGAGTGTGGTGAAAGTGCTGAATGATGATGAAAGTATTTTCTTTTTGGGTATTTTCTTTCTTTTTTGGGTCACCCTGCCTCGGTGGGAGACAGCCGACTTGTTGGAAAAAAAAAAAAGAAAAAAGAAAAAAAGAAAAGAAAAAAAAAAAAAAAAAAAAAAAAAAAAAAAAAAAAAAAAAAAAAAAAAAAAAAAAAAAAAAAAAACATGAGAAGGTGTTACTAGCACCTTGCTCCCAGTATTTAATAATGCATACATGAGGTGTTACTAGTCCTTTGCTCCCGGTATTTAGTAATGTATGCACGAGAAGGTGTTACTAGTCCCTTGCTCCCAGTATTTAGTAATGTATACATGAGAAGGTGTTACTAGTCCCTTGCTCCCGGTATTTAGTAATGTATACATGAGAAGGTGTTACTAGTCCCTTGCTCCCGGTATTTAGTAATGTATACATGAGAAGGTGTTACTAGTCCCTTGCTCCCAGTATTTAGTAATGTATACATGAGGTGTTACTAGCCCCTTGCTCCCAGTATTTAGTAATGTATACATGAGAAGGTGTTACTAGTCCCTTGCTCCCGGTATTTAGTAATGTATACATGAGAAGGTGTTACTAGTCCCTTGCTCCCGGTATTTAGTAATGTATACATGAGAAGGTGTTACTAGTCCCTTGCTCCCAGTATTTAGTAATGTATACATGAGGTGTTACTAGCCCCTTGCTCCCAGTATTTAGTAATGTATACATGAGAAGGTGTTACTAGTCCCTTGCTCCCGGTATTTAGTAATGTATACATGAGAAGGTGTTACTAGTCCCTTGCTCCCAGTATTTAGTAATGTATACATGAGGTGTTACTAGCCCCTTGCTCCCAGTATTTAGTAATGTATACATGAGAAGGTGTTACTAGTCCCTTGCTCCCGGTATTTAGTAATGTATACATGAGAAGGTGTTACTAGTCCCTTGCTCCCGGTATTTAGTAATGTATATATGAGAAGGTGTTACTAGTCCCTTGCTCCCAGTATTTAGTAATGTATACATGAGGTGTTACTAGCCCCTTGCTCCCAGTATTTAGTAATGTATACATGAGGTGTTACTAGTCCCTTGCTCCCAGTATTTAGTAATGTATACATGAGAAGGTGTTACTAGTCCCTTGCTCCCAGTATTTAGTAATGTATACATGAGAAGGTGTTACTAGTCCCTTGCTCCCAGTATTTAGTAATGTGTACATGAGAAGGTGTTACTAGTCCCTTGCTCCCGGTATTTAGTAATGTATACATGAGGTGTTACTAGTCCCTTGCTCCCGGTATTTAGTAATGTATACATGAGGTATTACTAGCCCCTTGCTCCCAGTATTTAGTAATGTATACATGAGGTGTTACTATCACCTTGCTCCTGGTATTTAGTAATGTATACAGGAAAAAGGGGTACTAGCCCCTTGCTCCTGGCATTTTAATTGCCACTTATGAAGGAAGAATTCTGTTCCACTTTCCCATGGAGATTAGAGGAAATAAACAAGAACAAGAACTATTAAGAAAATAGAAGAAAACCCAGATGGGTGTGCATATACATGTGTACAGTGGCTGCAGAAAAAATCTATACATTAATAATTTTTGGACAATAAAACCTAAAAATGCAACTTAATGTATGTATGTACATGTATTTTATTTTCACTTTTTAGCTTTCAACTAGTACTTGGTCATGTTACCATTGTTCTTTATCACCATCTGAAGTTGCCTGGGCATCGTAGCTGCGAGAGTGGAGAGGAAGGCATCCATGTTGATCCAAAGCTTCTTCAGTGCCTCCTTCAGGTCTGTGATGTTGATGGGTCGAGTTTTTGCATTCTCATTTTCCGTTACATGCCAGGCATTCTCGATAGGATTTAGGTCAGGGGAATTGCCTGGCCAGTCCAAAACACTGATATTATTGTCCTCAAGGAACTTTTTCACTCCTTTTGACTTATGGACAGGGGCACCATCATGAATAAAAAAATCACATGTGAATGTTCCAAAATGTCAGTATGTGGTTCCTTAACACCTTGATATAATTACTTCCCTTCAAAGTAGTGTTCTTAGGAAGAAAGTACAGTCCACCTCTGCCCTTATAACCACTAAAAGCATCCCAGACCATAACACGGTCAGGGTGCTTCACTGTCTTCATGGCATAACAGGACACACCACTGGGACGATGGAAAGTCTTATAGCCTCTCCTGACGAGCCTGAAGGTACTCTTGTCACTGAACATCACCTTCTGCCACTGAACTGAGGTCCAATCCTTGTACTTGTTGCAGAACTGAAGCCGTTTCTTCCTCACAGCTTCCGTTAGCATGGGCTTCTTGGCGGCAAGTCGAGCAGGCATTTTCAGATCCTCTTGCAGTCGGTGCTGAATGGTTCGCACTGCGATGTCTTTCAGGAGTGCAGGATGCTTTCTACTGAGGTCTGTGCCTGTTATGGCAGGATTTGATAACACTTCCCCCTTCAGGATCTTGTCTGTGCGAAGAGAAGTCTTCTTGGGGGCCTCAGACCCCACTTACCTAGGTGGTACGGTGCCAGGTGGGAGTGAGGCAGCTGCTTTCTTGAAGTTGTAAATTGCCATCGTAGTCACCTTCAGGTCTGCAGTTACACATATCACAGACATACCTTACTCTAATAGGGTGAGTGCACAAGTCTTCCCTACAACTGAAAGTTTAGTTTGACCCATTCTGACCACTTGGAGCAGAGATATAGCATGGCAAAGTTCATGGTCAAGTGCAAAAATGGGCAATGAGTAATAACGTAACAATCCTCCATCATCAAGCTCTGGAAGAGCACTGAAGTGTGGGGTGGTGGGGAATGTTGGAGCAAGACGGGCTCCAGTACACTAAGCTATCACAAGTTCCGCCCACTTTCTTATGGCGGAAATTCATGTGAAATGTATACACCAAAATCTAGTGTATAGATTTTTTTTTGTATTGGAAATGTATAGATTTTTTTTGCGGCAACTGTATATATGTATACATACAATAGAGTAGCAAGAAAATAAATGCATATTCTCAATTTCAAACACATTAGTAAAACAAAAATGACAAAATCTTTAATAATCCCATCCTGCTAATTTCTATCCTCACATTAAAGCAAAATTTTCATCTCTTGCCATCACTGTTGCATCTTACGTCATTTCCACGCGGTGCTTTATTTCCTGAATGAGGTGAAGACCTTGCTAGTGAAGGCCTGTAGATGCTTAACTATTTAACTGGTCATTTTCTGACAAAGGCATTTCTCTTATTTCCTGACAAATAAAAGATCATCTTTTGCTAATCTTATCATACATAAACTTCTTGATAAAATGCCAAAGATCTATGGAAAGAGAGAGGGAGGGAAAGGAAAGAAGGAAGGGGGAGAGAAAATAAGGAAGGTGGGAGGGAGGGAGGGAAGTGGAGGGTACGGGGGAGAGAGGAAGGGAGAGAGGAAGGGAGAGAGGAAGGAAGGAAGGAGGGAGGGAGGGAGGGAGGGAGAGGAGGAAGGAAGGAAGGAAGGGAGGGAGGAAGGAAGGAAGGAGGGAGGGAGGGAGGGAGGGAGGGAGGGAGGGAGGGAAGGAAGGAAGGGGAGGGAGGGAAGGAAGGAAGGAAGGAAGGAAGGGAGGAAGGGAGGAAAGATTTCATTTTTAACAACACATCAGTCATCTCCACTGAGGTAAGGCGACTCAAAAAAATAAGAAAACTTAATAAATCTTCCTACATTTACAAATTTACACAGCTAAAGTGGGCATATATGAATGCAATTTGAAAGCTGTTGAATTTTAGGACTGATGAAAAATATATTGTAATAAATAAAACAAGGAAAAATTTAAAAACCTTCTCCGAAGGGCAAATTGGAGACGGAGTCCTTGCCGGAGGATTGATACGAACTCCATGAGACTCCGGAGACTGAAATGAAAGTAGATTTGTTTCAGTAAATATTTTCTGTATATTCCCAATCTAATTTAGTTTTACTATAAGCGCAAGGGAAAAAATCAAACCATTTTGGACAGTTTTGTAAAAAAAATATCGAGCACAAAAACAGCGATGGTGGCAGCTCTTCAAAGCCTAAGAGAAGCCGTGAAGTGCTTCCTATCAGCGAAAAAGTGATAATTCTTAACTTGCTGTGTGCAATTTATCAAAGTTTGTAATAAGTATGAATGTAAACAAATGGTATAAACCCTGGTAATAAATACCCGCAGGTTGGTTTAGAAAAACAAGTAAGCAAACACTAGGACATATTTATCAGAAAACGTTTTGGTCCTGAGACCTTGATCACTTCTAACATACAGAGGTTGAAAGACATTATATATAAGTGGAGAGTGAGGCGTGACGCACAGTATTCTTCAGGTCACCGTGCGTCACTCACACCTCACTCTCCGCCTATATATAATGCCCCTCAACCTCTGTATGTTAGAAGTGATCAAGGTCCCAGGACTGAAACGTTTTCTAATAAATACGTCCTAGTGTTTGCTTAAGTGTTTTTCTAAACCACGTAAACAAATAAAACTTATAAATAAGGTTTGCTATTATCTGCAGCAGGTAATTGTAACATATCCCCGCAGATATGGGGGGTCCTACTGTATGTAAGATTCAGTATCTTTGTAGACAGCCTGTACTGTCTGCACAGACAGCCTATGCTGTCTGCCAGCTTAGTTCATATTTCGCGCCATGCTGGTGCTGCCACCTATAGGCGTTGCCACTTCAGCCTGCCTGCCCTTGCCTCGCTCTCACTCACACAGCAGCCTAGCAGGAAGACACAAGGCCTACTAGTAGCTCTCTCTCATGGGATGGCCCTCCCGGGCCATGGGCACAACACACAAGCCTGTGTACCCACCACGACTTAACAATAAACAAAGAAGCCTCCAAAGAAAATATATCATTGAACCCCGCTTGCAGCATCACCAAATAATCTCGTTATAAATGGTGGGAAGTGGTGGTCGCAGCAGTTGTTTGCCCGGAGAGAGGAAGGAGAGGTATGAAGTCATCTTCACTTCATCACCCTACACAAGAAGCATCCGTCTCTCAACAAGTTATCCTGATGTCGTGTCTGCACATTTGAGCATCCAGACACAGGTACAAGCAGGATCCAGCCGAAATTTGGCGAAATTCTCTGAGAATTGTAAGTGACCCCAGGCTACAGCGTCCCACGCTGTTTCTCAAGTCACGTGTTCAGCGTCACTTGTATGTTGCTGTTGTTGTTCAGCTCAGCACAGCTGTTTCAGCAAGCCAGAGGTGAGTTTTGTGGTGATTTCCACGTCCAGTGTGAGTTCTCCACATGTTTGTGGGTGTGGGAGGAGGAAGTGGCTGTTCCTTGCTTCGCCCTGCTGTACTCTCACACCTCACCAGCCTACCATACACCACTCACCACTGCTCACTCCCTCTGCTGTTTTTTGTGTGATTCATTGCCAGAGCTGTGTATCCGAGTGCCCGAGGCCACTCGAAGCTACGTGGATCAGCATGCCACGTAGATCACGACGCCACGTAGATCACGACGCCACGTGGATCACGACGCCACGTTGGGTGTGGGCGATGTCACGTGGACCTACAAACCACGTGAGTTACCGAGCCAGATGTCCCAGGCCTCATGCTGTGGTCTGCTGCCCGCATCACATCGACGTCACCCACGATGCTGGCCGACTTCATGACGTCACGATGTCTGCTGACGTCACCTCGAGATGTCTGCTGACGTCATCACGCCTGACATCACACGATGTCACCATCGAGTGTTCAGTAATTATTAAAATATTGTCGAGAAGACTAAGAGAAGATATATGTCGTGTGTTAATTCCTCTCAGTCAGTGTTCTCACATGTTAGTGTACCGCATGTACCGCGGTGTGTTTAAAGTTTCCATGTGTCCAGTGAGGTCTGAGCCAGACCTGAGTAACACCACTGTGTTAAGTCACCCGTGTGACCAGTGTGTTTGACAGCTATCAGACAGCCCCAAGTGACCGAGCCCTCTTGTACAGAAAGCTTTTATGCTCGTCGCTCGTGATGTTCTGCAGAATCGTACCTGCTACGATTCCCATCGAGATTTGTTTCACTTCACCTCCAGACCGTCAGAGTGCAGTTATATGCAGAGAAACAAGTCTGGGGACGCTTAGACTAACCTCTGCTATAACTCCAACTGTGGAGAGATGACACTCGCCAAGCTGCAGTTAGCCACTGTTGGCAGGTGCTGTGTCAGCCTCGTGTCACAAGCTTCAGTGAGCAGCCTGCACAAAGATGTCACTTTGACTGCTAGCTCTCTCACTGCAGTCTGGTGTATGATGTTATGACTCCCAGATGTTTCGCCCAGTCGTCTCTGCCACGACTCTCTCCATGCTCGCCAGCAGTGACAGCCCAGCGACAGTACCAGTCGGGAAGTGTCCTCCTGAGTCGCTTGCCAAAAGTCCTGCCCAGTTGCCGAGTTTTGTCGACGCCTCACTCGAGGGCACCAGCATGTCGTGCCCCAGGTTGAGTGAAAACCTGCAGCGACTCCTACGATGACTGCTTCACTGTTCCAGAGGAGACCGTACCCTGTTACGTCACAGCTCAGCCGCAGCGATGTCTCCAGTGTTGCAGCATCTGTCCAGACGCAGGAAGGCGTGCAGTGATGCCCACTGACGCTCACTGCCTTTGACCACGATGTTTAGCACACCCCACATGTTTTTTTCTTCCCTCCCTGTAGGAAGTTTTTTTTTCCATGTCCATATGTATATATATGTTTTTATTTTGTGTTCTGTGCCCTGTTCCTACGAGAGAGAGACCGAGTTTCTTTTACCACCAGTATTGTCGCGTCTGGACGACGCGAGGTAGGTGGCCGAGCATATGTAGACAGCCTGTACTGTCTGCACAGACAGCCTATGCTGTCTGCCAGCTTAGTTCATATTTCGCGCCATGCTGGTGCTGCCACCTATAGGCGTTGCCACTTCAGCCTACCGGCCCTTGCCTCACTCTCACTCACACAGTGGCCTAGCAGGAAGACACAAGGCCTACTCCTAGCTCTCTCTCGTGGGATGGCCCTCCCGGGCCATGGGCACAACATACAAGCCTGTGTACCCACCACGACTTAACAATAAACAAAGAAGCCTCCGAAGAAGTATATCATTAACCACCCGCTTACAGCCTACCAAACAAATTATTAAACATCTTTGCAGTCTCTTGCAAGTATAGAATTGGGTTTTCTTTTAAGCAACTGAAGACGAGTTTCTGAAAAATGGAAATGCAGAAATAAAAACGGCATTAAATCGAAACTACTACTTAAAAATTTACCAATACAGTATAACCACTTCTATGACCCATTACCTTCAAAAGAACTCACTAAGTTACTACAATATATTTTTACCTTCACCATCTAAGTAATATTTTTTACTTTCACCATCTAAGAAAGTTACATTTTTACTTTCACCACCTAAATAAAGCTATACAGCATACTCAAATAAGCTCTACTGTTGTACAACAGAACTCGCACCTTCAACTCAATGGATCTTTTAAAATCAGCAATCCTGGCAATCTCTACAGCACGTTTCAAACTCTTGCGAGCGCAACGTCTTGTAGAACTCTCACGCTGTTAAGGCAAAACTTGCATTAAAGATAATGGAAATGTAACCCAAACATGTACAGTGGACCCCCGCTTAACGATCAGCTTCCAATGCGACCAATTATGTAAGTGTACATGTATTTATGTAAGTGCGTTTGTACGTGTATGTCTGGGGGTCTGAAATGGACTAATCTACTTCACAATATTCCTTATGGGAACAAATTCGGTCAGTACTGGCACCCGAACATACTTCTGGAATGAAAAAATATCGTTAACCAGGGGTCCACTGTATTATGTTCTCGATCACTGGCTGTCTCCCACCAAGGTAGACTCCCCCCATTAAGAAGTCACCAAATTGAATAAATGATAAGTGAATGTAGTTCCTTCCTTGGGTGGCCCACTTTCCTAATTGCAGTCGAAGAAGAATTATATAACTATGATGATCTGGTACTATATGTTCTTTTTAAGAACAAGAAATTCGGAATGCATCATTATTCTTAAAAAACTCGTTTTTGGTTATAACATGGTTAGGTTAGGTAAGGTTCAGCAGGAAAGACGACAAACGTTTCTTGACATGGGTCTTAGTCACATGATGACCCACAGTTGGAGCTTTCAGTCATCTGACCGAGGCCTTCTGCTGGCTTACCATTCCACCCCTTAAAAAATAGTGGTTATAATTGGTAGGGTGTGCAAAAGAAGAAAATTAAAGGTGAATACAGGAAAGAGTAAGGTTATGAGGATAACAAAAAGATTAGGTGATGAAAGATTGAATATCAGATTGGAGGGAGAGAGTATGGAGGAGGTGAACGTATTCAGATATTTGGGAGTGGACGTGTCAGCGGATGGGTCTATGAAAGATGAGGTGAATCATAGAATTGATGAGGGAAAAAGAGTGAGTGGTGCACTTAGGAGTCTGAGTCTGTGGAGACAAAGAACTTTGTCCTTGGAGGCAAAGAGGGGAATGTATGAGAGTATAGTTTTTACCAACGCTCTTATATGGGTGTGAAGCGTGGGTGATGAATGTTGCAGCGAGGAGAAGGCTGGAGGCAGTGGAGATGTCATGTCTGAGGGCAATGTGTGGTGTGAATATAATGCAGAGAATTAGTAGTTTGGAAGTTAGGAGGAGGTGCGGGATTACCAAAACGTTGTCCAGAGGGCTGAGGAAGGGTTGTTGAGGTGGTTCGGACATGTAGAGAGAATGGAGCGAAACAGAATGACTTCAAGAGTGTATCAGTCTGTAGTGGAAGGAAGGCGGGGTAGGGTCGGCCTAGGAGGGTTGGAGGGAGGGGTAAAGGAGGTTTTGTGTGCGAGGGGCTTGGACTTCCAGCAGGCATGCGTGAGCGTGTTTTGATAGGAGTGAATGGAGACAAATGGTTTTTAATACTTGACGTGCTGTTGGAGTGTGAGCAAAGTAACATTTATGAAGGGATTCAGGGAAACCGGCAGGCCGGACTTGAGTTCTGGAGATGGGAAGTACAGTGCCTGCACTCTGAAGGAGGGGTGTTAATGTTGCAGTTTAAAAACTGTAGTGTAAAGCACCCTTCTGGCAAGACAGTGATGGAGTGAATGATGGTGAAAGTTTTTCTTTTTCGGGCCACCCTGCCTTGGTGGGAATCGGCCGGTGTGATAATAAAATAAAAAATAATTGTAACCATTAGCTGTCTAGTCTTATAATAATATGGGTGTGTATTCGAACATAGGTTCTGAGTACTGAATACAGTGGACCCCCGCATAACGATCACCTCCGAATGCGACCAATTATGTAAGTGTATTTATGTAAGTGCATTTGTACGTGTATGTTTGGGGGTCTGAAATGGACTAATCTACTTCACAATATTCCTTATGGGAACAAATTCAGTCAGTACTGGCACCTGAACATACTTCTGGAGTGAAAAAATATCGTTAACCGGGGGTCCACTGTACTTGGCTTGTAATTTCCCGACATGCAGTGAATTCATTAATGGGCAACCTCCCATGGATATTCATTTTCCCCGAATCATTAGGTGTTTCCTATCAATGCATTTATTCAAATCACAATCATTTACATAATTGTTGTCAAAAGTTACGAGAGACCTAGACATCAATAAACAAAGAAATATATGATAGTACCTGGGAAATTTGGTATCCAATACAATATATCACATTATGTCACATTTTAAGAGGAATCTTCATTTTTTTTTTTCAACAAGTCGGTCATCTCCCACCGAGGCAGGGTGACCCAAAAAGAAAGAAAATCCCCAAAAAGAAAATACTTTCATCATTCAACACTTTCACCTCACTCACACATAATCACTGTTTTTGCAGAGGTGCTCAGAATACAACAGTTTAGAAGCATATGCATATAAAGATACACAACATATCCCTCCAAACTGCTAATATCTTCAAGTCTGTATAATAATGTGACCTTGATACTAGTGCAAAGAGGCTTCTCAATGTTTTAATTTCATTAATCTTAATGAAGCAGTGAAAAAAGTAAGGGCAGAGAGCTACTATCATGTAGTGACAATAACAATAATAACTCACCTTAAAAGCTTTGCTTTGTAGATGTCGAGTTACCCGAGCCGGTGAATTTGTCACCTGAAAAAAAATTTGCCATGTCAAATAGGGGTCATCAGGACCTAACCGGGTTAATCTCTGCTCCTCAACTTACAATGGGGTTATGTTCCGGTGAACTCATCGTAAGTCAAACAGAAATACACTAAATAAATAACTACTCTGGTGGCCTGGTGGTTAACGCTCTCGCTTCACACGGTGAGGGCCTGGGTTCGATTCCCAGCCAGAGTAGAAACATTGGACGTGTTTCTTTCCACCTGTTGTCTATGTTCCCCATCAGTAAAATGGGTACCTGGGTGTTAGTCGACTGGTGTGGGTCGCATCCTGGGACACTGACCTAAGGAGGCCTGGTCACAGACCGGGCCGCGGGGGCGTTGACCCCCGGAACTCTCTCCAGATAAACTCCAGATAAACTGTCACTGGGTAAGTAAATAAACAAATAGTTACTGTAAATACCAGTACTGAGAAGTAAATATATATATACAAGTTATAGGTAGTAGGTTGGTAGACAGCAACCACCCAGGGAAGTACTACCGTCCTGCCAGATGACTGTGAAACAAAAACCTGTAACTGTTTTGCATGATGGTAGGATTGCTGGTTTCTTTTTCTGTCTCATAAACACGCTAAGATAACAGGGATATCTTGCTACTCCTACTTACACTTTGGTCACACTTCACAGACACGCACATGCATATATATATATACATACATCTAGGTTTTTCTCCTTTTTCTAAATAGCTCTTGTTCTTTTTATTTCTTCTATTGTCCATGGGGAAGTGGAAAAGAATCTTTCCTCCGTAAGCCATGCGTGTCGTATGAGGCGACTAAAATGCCGGGAGCAATGGGCTAGTAACCCCTTCTCCTGTATACAATTACTAAAAAAGAGAAGAAGAAAAACTTTATAAAACTGGTTGCTTAAATGTGCGTGGATGTAGTGCGGATGACAAGAAACAGACGATTGCTGATGTTATGAATGAAAAGAAGTTGGATGTCCTGGCCCTAAGCGAAACAAAGCTGAAGGGGGTAGGGGAGTTTCAGTGGGGGAAATAAATGGGATTAAATCTGGAGTATCTGAGAGAGTTAGAGCAAAGGAAGGGGTAGCAGTAATGTTAAATGATCAGTTATGGAAGGAGAAAAGAGAATATGAATGTGTAAATTCAAGAATTATGTGGATTAAAGTAAAGGTTGGATGCGAGAAGTGGGTCATAATAAGCGTGTATGCACCTGGAGAAGAGAGGAATGCAGAGGAGAGAGAGAGATTTTGGGAGATGTTAAGTGAATGTATAGGAGCCTTTGAACCAAGTGAGAGAGTAATTGTGGTAGGGACTTGAATGCTAAAGTAGGAGAAACTTTTAGAGAGGGTGTGGTAGGTAAGTTTGGGGTGCCAGGTGTAAATGATAATGGGAGCCCTTTGATTGAACTTTGTATAGAAAGGGTTTAGTTATAGGTAATACATATTTTAAGAAAAAGAGGATAAATAAGTATACACGATATGATGTAGGGCGAAATGACAGTAGTTTGTTGGATTATGTATTGTAGATAAAACTGTTGAGTAGACTTCAGGATGTACATGTTTATAGAGGGGCCACAGATATATCAGATCACTTTCTAGTTGTAGCTACACTGAGAGTAAAAGGTAGATGGGATACAAGGAATAGAAGCATCAGGGAAGAGAGAGGTGAAGGTTTATAAACTAAAAGAGGAGGCAGTTAGGGTAAGATATAAACAGCTATTGGAGGATAGATGGGCTAATGAGAGCATAGGCAATGGGGTCGAAGAGGTATGGGGTAGGTTTAAAAATGTAGTGTTAGAGTGTTCAGCAGAAGTTTGTGGTTACAGGAAAGTGGGTGCAGGAGGGAAGAGGAGCGATTGTGGAATGATGATGTAAAGAGAGTAGTAAGGGAGAAAAAAGTTAGCATATGAGAAGTTTTTACAAAGTAGAAGTGATGCAAGGAGGAAGAGTATATGGAGAAAAAGAGAGAAGTTAAGAGAGTGGTGAAGCAATGTAAAAAGAGAGCAAATGAGAGAGTGGGTGAGATGTTATCAACAAATTTTGTTGAAAATAAGAAAAAGTTTTGGAGTGAGATTAACAAGTTAAGAAAGCCTAGAGAACAAATGGATTTGTCAGTTAAAAATAGGAGAGGAGAGTTATTAAATGGAGATTTAGAGGTATTGGGAAGATGGAAGGAATATTTTGAGGAATTGTTAAATTTTTGATGAAGATAGGGAAGCTGTGATTTCGTGTATAGGGCAAGGAGGAATAACATCTTGTAGGAGTGAGGAAAGCCAGTTGTGAGTGTGGGGGAAGTTCGTGAGGCAGTAGGTAAAAGAAAGGGGGTAAGGCAGCCGGATTGAGGGGATAAAGATAGAAATGTTAAAAGCAGGTGGGGATATAGTTTTGGAGTGGTTGGTGAAAATTATTTAATAAATGTAATGGAAGAGGTAAAGGTACCTGGATTGGCAGAGAGCATGCATAGTTCCTTTGTTAAAGGCAAAGGGGATAAAAGAGAGTGCAAAAATTATAGGGGAAAAAGTCTGTTGAGTGTACCTGGTAAATTTGTATGGTAGAGTTATAATTGAAAGAATTAAGAGAAGACGGAGAATAGGATAGCAATGAACAAGGAGGCTTTAGGAAAGGTAGGGGGGTGTGGACCAGGTGTTTACAGTGAAAATATAAGTGAACAGTATTTAGTAAGGCTAAAGAGGTCTTTGTGGCATTATGGATTTGGAAAAAAGGCGTATGACAGGTGGACAGGGGGCAATGTGGCAGATGTTGCAAGGTATGGGTAGGAGGTAGGTTACTGAAAGCAGTAAGAGTTTTACGAGGATAGTGAGGCTCAAGTTAGAGTATGTAGGAAAGAGGGAAATTTTTTTTCCCAGTAAAAGTAGGCCTTAGACAAGGATGTTGATGTCACCGTGGTTGTTTAATATATTTAAGAGGGGGTTTGGTAAGAGAATTAAATGCGAGGGTCTGGCAAGAGGCGTGGAGTTAAAAGATAAAGAATCACACACAAAGTGGGATTTTGTCACAGCTGCCCTTTGCTGATGACACTGTGCTCTTGGGAGATTCTGAAGAGAAGTTGCAGAGATTGGTGATGAATTGGTAGGGTGTGCAAAAAAGAAGAAAATTAAAGGTGAATACAGGAAAGAGTAAGGTTATGGGGATAACAAAAAGATTAGGTGATGAAAGATTGAATATCAGTTTGGGAGGGAGAGAGTATGGAGGAGGTGAACGTATCAGATATTTGGGAGTGGACGTGTAAAGCGGATGGGTCTATGAAAGATAGGTGAATCATAGAATTGATGAGGGAAAAAGAGTGAGTGGTGCACTTAGGAGCCCTGTGGAGACAAAGAACTTTGCCCTTTGGAGGCAAAGAGGGGAATGTATGAGGTATAGTTTTAACCAACGCTCTTATATGGTGTGAAGCGTGGGTGATGAATGTTTGCAGCGGGGAGAAGGCTGGAGGCAGGGAGATGTCCATGTCTGAGGGCAATGTGTGGTGTGAATATAAGCAGAGAATTCGAAAGTTTGAAGTTAGGAGGAGGTGCGGGATTACCAAAACTGTTGTCCAGAGGGCTGAGGAAGGGTTGTTGAGGTGGTTCGGACATGTAGAGAGAATGGAGCGAAACAGAATGACTTAAAGAGTGTACAGTCTGTAGTGGAAGGAAGGCGGGGTAGGGGTCGCCTAGGAAGGGTTGGAGGGAGGGGGTAAAGGAGGTTTTTGTGTGCGAGGGGCTTGGACTTCCAGCAAGGCATGCTTGAGCGGTTTGATAAGGAGTGAATGGAGACAAATGGTTTTTAAATACTTGACTGCTGTTTGGAGTGTGAGCAAAGTAACATTTATGAAGGATTTAGGGAAACCGGCAGGCCGGACTTGAGTCCTGGAGATGGGAAGTACAGTGCCTGCACTCTGAAGGAGGGGTGTTAATGTTGCAGTTTAAAAACTGTAGTGTAAAGCACCCTTCTGGCAAGACAGTGATGGAGTGAATGATGGTGAAAGTTTTTCTTTTTCGGGCCACCCTGCCTTGGTGGGAATCGGCCGGTGTGATAATAAAAAATAAAATAAGTTAGGGACTTGCTGCCTTCATGCTCAGTAATTATTTTGTTTTACCTCCAAAGTAATTGCTTTTGTATCATCATAAAGTCAAAATATTCTAAGCTGAACCATTGTAAGCCAAGGAGAACCTCTATATTTAATAATGACATAAAATATAACAAAATTCATAAAAGCAGATGGCAAGAGCAAATATTTTGCTTATACAGTGGAGCCCCACTGTGGATATCGGCCGCTTTTTGGCTGAAAAATTTGCCCTGGATTTCGGCCGGTGATTCGGAAATCAGCTGTACTGGACGTGTTCGCCTGCCTGGGAACACCATCAGTCTGGCTTTGTCACTAGTTGAGTGAGCATTCATCCAAAACATTTCGCAATTTTTGTGCTTGTTTACTGACTGTGATTGCAAATTAAGCCACCATGGGCCCAAAGAAAGTTCCTAGTGCCAGCCATTTGGTAAAGAAAGTGAGAAACACACATGTTGTGGAATCTATTGTGGCTTTGGGGAAGTTCATGGGGTTGGATATGAGTGGCCAAGATGTGGAAGAGTTGGAGGAGGACCACAGTGAAGAGCTAACCACTGAAGAGCTGCAAGAGCTTCATCTGGAACAGCAGCAGAGCACAGCTGCTCTGCTGCTGTGCTCCTCTGCTTCAGAGGAGGAGGAAGAGAGAGAGAGAGAGAGAGGAGAGAAGGTGCCTTCTTCAGTGATTAAGGACAAAGGTAGAGGGTGGTAGTGGTTGTGATGGTGGTAGAAGGTGGTAGTGATGGTGGTAGAGGACAGTAGTGATGGTGGTGGAGATAACCTCTCCTCCTCCTCCCTGTCTTCCATACTCTAAGTCTTCAAGAAAGGTACAGTGGAACCTCAAATATCGAACTTTCTTCGTTCCAGATGGCTGTTCGAGTGCCATTACCGAATGAATTTAATCCCATCAGGAATAATGTAAATTAGATAAGTTCATTTCAGACCCTCAAAAACACACTTATAAAAGCACTTACAAAAATACACTTACATAATTGGTTGAGTTGGGAGCAGTTCGATATTTGAGGTCCCACTGTATGTAATAATGATTTAAATGTTCATTTATACATTTCATTAGCCATTTTATTTAGTTCTCATTGTTTTGTGTATGTAAAACTATAGTTAATCTTTAAAAAATTAATTTTTTGTGAACAGTATTTTTGGGTGTCTGGAACGGATTAATTGTATTTACGTTATTTCTTGTGGGAAATATTGCTTCGGTTTTAGACCGTTTCGGATTTAGGGCGACCTTCTGGAACAGATTACAGCCGAAATCCGGGGTTACAATACCTTCTGTATTGTGTATATAAATGATATATGTAATATAGACAATAATAATATATAATAATATTAATGACATTATACATAATAATGGTATAATAATATTATACACAATACACAAGATTCTCAATGCGTTTGTAAATCAGGACTTACTGTATAACAAAGTGACTTAAGACTCATGAAACTGTAAGAACACAATTGCAAATAAACCACAGAACAGGTGGGGATTGAACCTATGGTGAATCTTAAAACTCCAGGCCAGTGTGTAAGCCATTCAGCATAGCCACTGACCTGGAGATTTAAAACTCCAGGCCAGTGTGTAAGTCATTCAGCATAGCCACTGACCTGGAGATTTAAAACTCCAGGCCAGTGTGTAAGCCATTCAGCTTAGCCACTGACCTGGAGATTTAAAACTCCAGGCCAGTGTGTAAGCCATTCAGCTTAGCCACTGACCTGGAATTAAAACTCGGAGGTGTAAGTCATTCACTTAGCACTGACCTGGATTAAAACCAGCCAGTGTGTAAGCCATTCAGCTTAGCCACTGACCTGGAGATTTAAAACTCCAGGCAGTGTGTAAGCCATTCAGCTTAGCCACTGACCTGGAGATTTAAAACTCCAGGCCAGTGTGTAAGCCATTCAGCTTAGCCACTGACCTGGAGATTTAAAACTCCAGGCCAGTGTGTAAGTCATTCAGCTTAGCCACTGACCTGGAGATTTAAACTCCAGCCAGTGTGTAAGTCCATTCAGCTTAGCCACTGACCTGGAGATTTAAAACTCCAGGCCAGTGTGTAAGTCATTCAGCTTAGCCACTGACCTGGAGATTTAAAACTCCAGGCCAGTGTGTAAGTCATTCAGCTTAGCCACTGACCTGGAGAGTTAAGACTCCAGGCCAGTGTTAAGCCATTCAGCTAGCCACTGACCTGGAGAGTTAAGACTCCAGGCCAGTGTGTAAGCCATTCAGCTTAGCCACTGACCTGGAGAGTTAAGACTCCCATGCCATGGTTTCATACCTCACTTGTTCTGATTTTTTTTTTTTTAAACGACGCGTCTCTACAAACCTGACACACTTCCGATGTCAACTCTTCTGTTTCATTAGGAGTTTCTCCAATGTGATTCTGATATGCAGCTGCCAAGGAGCGCACACTGTGACCCGTCGTCGAGCTAAAGGAAACACAGGAATTTTTTAAATTAAGCAAGGATATAGGAATGTGAATGGAGAAAAATACAGAATTAACAAAAAACTATTAAAAGGTAGGGAGAGCCACTATAAAGATAAAACCAACAACAGCAATGATGAAGAATGGTCAGGTATAGAGCTTTTGTGAAAATACTTCACTCTATATAGAGCTTTATCAAGACCACTGATAAAACCATAGAGAGTAAACTAGTGCTATAATAAAAGCTTGCTTTGTACCAGTGGGTCACCAGCAATAACAGCCTGGTTGGCCAGGCAAGCACCCAATGAGCCTGGTCCAAGGCCGGGCTCCAGGAGTACAAAAACTCTTTGAAAATTATCAAAGGTATAAACCACCTGCCTCGGTGGGAGACGGCCGACTTGTTGAAAGAAAAAAAAAAAAAAAAAAAAAAAAACAAGACTTTCTTCATTACTGTCAGAACATAATCTTTGTGTCAAGCAATCCATCGATCACCTTGGCAAAGGGTACACAAAAATTACAGGAAGAGATAAACAGTGCTCCAGTGAGTAGTGGAGAGTAACATGACATACATTACTTACAGGTTATAACTACTATATTTAGATATGGAAAGAATGAATAACTCAAAGAGACACTGTACACAACATCTAAGATCACTAACTAAAATGAAAGGAACATGAAAGACCTGAGTGTGATGTCAGCTTACCTTTCTTTCAGAGAACACAATAAGGCAAATACAGTGGACCCTCAAATTTAGTTGTGCCTTTTCTGTATGTCTGTTTTGTTAATATTTCCCATAGGAAATAATGTAAACCCAATTAAACCATTCCAGACACCCAAAAATATTAACAAACAATACATTTTATAGATAAAAATAGTTTTGCATACAGAAAAGGCACGATTAAATTCGAGGGTCCACTGTCTCACAAAAGACATGAAAATGATGGGGTGGATAGTGAAGAACTTTCAAAACAAGGAAAACAGTGCCAATTGTGACACTTTTCAAATCACCTGTCCTCTCTTGTTGAGTCTTGTTCAGTGATGACAGGTAATTTCAGGGCAGGAGAATTATCAGAGCTGGAACAGATACAGATAATTTATGGTCCGCATAGGGCTAATAAAGCATCTGAATTACTGGGAATGCCTCAAAGTCCTAAATATGTACTCACTGGTGCAGAGGAGAGAGAGATACGTAATAAAATATACATGGAAAGTACTCGAGGGCCTGGTTCCAAATTTGCACACAGCCGTAACAACATACGATGGTACCTCGGGATGCGAATTTATTTTGTTCCAGAAGGCTGTTCGAGTGCCGATACTGAACGAATTTGTTCCCATAAGGAATATTGTAAATTAGATTAATCCGTTTCGGACCCTCAAAAATACACTTACATAACTGTTCAAGTTTTGAGTTGTTCGTATCCCAAGGTACCACTGTATTGGAGTGAGAGATATAGGAGTGTGTGTAAAATTAACCAAGTGAAAAGCAGGGCTCCTGTGGACACAATAGAAGAACACTGCATCAACATTTTTGGGCCCAGACTATTTAACACTACCATAAGATATCAGAAACTTTACTGGAACAAGGGCGGAAGTCTTCAAGAGGATGTTGAACATGTACCTTTGCCAAGTGCAAGATCAACATGTCCATGATAGATATGCAAGCCAACAAGCTGCCAACAGTAACAGCCTGGTTGATGAGGCAACACCAGACAAGCCTAGTCTTCAAAGGTATCCCTGGAGATTAGATAAGACTATACTAGAGAGAACAAGAAAGAATCTGGAGAAATGGGGACAATGAGGAGTTAGTGGGGATAGAGGAAGAGTAAGGTAATCAACAGAAAGGCGATGAGAAGAAGGGCGAGTCAGGGCTTCAGCAATGAAATCCTTGGACAAGAAGAATGGTGCTAAAAAGGATAAAATAAGCTAAACATATACTGATACAAAGGTAAAGAAAGGGAGGCTACCTGGAGTGTGTTCCGGGGGTCAACGCCCCCATGGCCCTGTCCATGACCAGGATGATGATTGATAGAAAATACAGAATTTGTGGGCTGACCGTACCAAGCGCTTCAGGAGGGTTGCAACTTGATTCTAGCGAAGGGATCCTCAACCAAAGAATTAAGAGCCATCCTCCATTTCTCTGGATCAAACCTGATTAACCCCTGTCCTTCCATTCCCCAGAAATTATACAACCTTTATGGGTCGAGCATCTCCCCATAAATATAAACTGTATTAATAATAAGCATATTAAAGATCACGTGGTGAAACACTAATCGAGCTGAGGAAAATAAAAGTACGTATACAGTGGACAAATAGTTTAAAAAAAAATAGACGAGATTGGTTAATTGCGTTTAAAGGTTATATGCTATACAAGAGTTGTTAAGGATGCATGTCACCTGTACACCAGTCAAGAACACTTTTTTTTTTTTTTTATCTGAAACACTGTCTCCAGCCAAGGCATAGTGATCCACATTCAAATATGCAAAATAACCAAAGGGGGAGCTGAACGATTGCTCTAGGTGTTTCATGTTGCAATCAATACGTCAAGAACTTGCAATGTTGTAGAAATAGAGTAGGAAATCCAGGCAGATTCGTTCAGAAGAATGACTCTCTCTACATTCGTTCCCCTGAACAAATCTGCCTGGATTTTCTATTCTATTTCTGCAACATTGCAACCTCCTGATGTGCTGATTGCAACACAGTCTAGAGCTATCATTTGAAGCACTTTCATTATTTCTTACTATTCCCAAACAATGTGAGAAATCGCAATAACACTTGGAATTTCACCATTTCTTTTCACTGTAATTATTTTGCATACTGTGATATCACCTGTTTACTGTGATCTTATTGCATTTAGAAAGATGCGTTAAAAGCTCTCAATATTCATTTACCATCAGCAAACATTCTAGGATTAGTCAAGTACAGTTCAAGACGACTTACATGACAAATGGTTGTGCAGCAGGTTTCACCGGACTCTTGACCAGCACACCCTTGTGTTGCACAGCTAAGCCGCGTGTAGCTCCTCTCTGAGCGTTGGACATACAGCCAATGTTTGCAAAGCTACTAAGTACTGGTGTCTTTGGAGTTATAGCCTTGCCAATGCATTGAGAGGGAGATGGCCTATTAGGGCTTGGCTTGGCGACCGGTAACTGGCGCACTTTGGATCGAGTTATACGACGAACTGGGCTACATTCTGACTTTTCATTGGATTTAACAGCTGTCACAGAGACAGGTGCATTAATGTGTTTAAACATGGTTGACTGCACTGATTTTGAGGTTTCTGATGAAGTCAACTCACTAGATTCATCACTTTTATTTAAAATTTTCTTCAAGACATCATGGGAATCCACTCTAACAAATGTCGAGTTCATCTCGACTGGACCTGGTACTGACTTATCATCTTCAGACTCGGAAAGAGTTAGACGCAGACTATGACTGTGATTAACAATCTCATTCTCTGTAAGTTCATTCACTTTCTTGCGTTTGGTTCTTGTAGAACCAGTAGACTGTTCTGGTGTGTTCTCAACCTGTCGTTTTCTGGTTTGGGATGTCTTTGTGCTTTGCGAATCGGAACTTGACATCCCGTCACTGAAATGTTTACCATCACAACTTTCTTCAGTCATTCTGGTCTTTGTGTGAGTTGAGCTAGACAGGGAAATTTCCCCACCATGCTGAGAGCTAGCCTCTTCAGATTCATCACTTCTATCCTCCGATGAAATCTGGGAATCCAATCCCCCTTTTACACTATTGATTCTGTCCTTTATAACCCTCAACTTCGACCTTGTTACTCGTGAATTTGGTACAATCTTAGGTGGTAACATTACGTCATCTGAATCATCACTGATAATGTGACTCTCCGGTTCCTTCTTTTGCTTAGTTCGAGTGGATCTTGGCTTGGGAACTGGATGAGGTGGAGTGGAAAGATCCACTCTTTTATTACACTTATCTGAATCGTCTTCTGAAGCGGACTGTAATTCCCTCAGTTTTGTGCGAGTAGTCCGAACACTTGGCAGAGGTTGTACAAATTGTGATGAGAAGTTTGGTAAAGCCTGAGTTACTTCTTTCAGGTCCTGAGATTGAGATTTGCATTCCTCATCCAATTTTTCTGGTTGCTCACACACACTTTGGGCAGTTTTCCCGAGATGTATTGATTTGCGGTTTTCCTTGCTTGTCTCCATTTCTTTGTTTGGCTCGTGTATGTTCCTTTCCTTTTCACTTTCGCTCTTATCATCACCATCACTATCTTCCAGTCGGAGCTCAGAGTAAGTACAATCATCTTCAGGAACACAAGCTTCCTCCACCACCTCTTCCTGGCACACACTTACTGAAGTGTCTTGTGCAAATTTTCCTACACTAAGTTTTCCTCCTTGAGGTCTCTTTGTAGCCTCACCTAAGTCTACAGATGTTACGCTTTCAAACTTCAAGCATACACTTAAGCGACTGGTATTTCTGCTTTTTCGTTTTGGTGTGCCTGGTGGCAACACTGCATCAGATTCTCTCTCCTTTTCAGGCACATCTCGGGACAAAACCGGATCAGATGCTGGGTCCCCAAGACGACTGACGCACTCTTCCTCCTCGTCTGGTGTGCTGCGTGATGAAGCTGGGTCATGTTTTGGGTCACAGTCAATACCTCGTTCAATTTGGGATACGGAGGTTTTATCTGGATTCTGACGTACAGAAGTTTTCTTCTCTCCTCTTTTGTATTCGGTGCTGTAAAACAGTCATCACATTTAGAAAAGATTGAGAAACCAACATTAAAATTAAAACATGTCATTATCATACACAGGCAGGCACCGCTTTACAGCGCTTAGCTTTATGGCATTTCGCTAATGCAGTGGTTTTCAATTACAGTGGACCCTCCCTTTTTGCTGTTAATTCATTCCAGAGTCTCCAACAAAATGTGGAATTGACTAAAACTGAAACGATTTTCCCACATAAGAAATAATGTAAATCCAATTAATCCATTCCAGCCACCCAAAAGTATTAACAAAAAATATTTTTTTATACATTAAATATAGACTTACATACAGAAAAGAATGAGAAATCAAGTAGTATAAAACAATATTGAAATAACATGGCACTTACCTTTATTGAAGACTCTTGTTGGTGTATGGTAGACAGAGAGGAAGGGAAAGAGAGGGGTCACTATTGTTTGGAAGGGAAATCCCCTTCCATAAAGACTTTAGGTACCAAGTCTTCCTCTGGGGTTACTTCTCTTCTTTGCTTTTTAATGGCACTAGCACCAGCTTGAGAGTCATTGGACCCTGTTGCACAAAAAACTCCAGAGAGCTCTGTTTCTGGTGTCTTTAAAATTTGCCTAAAATGGGACATGGCATTGTCATTTTACATGTTGCCGACACGGCTTGCAACAGCGTTGTTGGGGTGATATTTCTCCACAAAACTTTGCAACTCACTCCACTTTGCACACATGTCTTTAATCACTGAAGAAGGCACATTCTCTCCTCTCTCTCTTCCTCCTCCTCTGAAGCATTTTTCACAGCTGTGCTCTGCTGCTGTTGCAGATGAAGCTCTTGCCGCTCTTCAGTGGTTAGCTCTTCACTGTGGTCCTCCACCAACTCTTCCACATCCTGGTCACTCGCATCCAACCCCATGGAATTCCCCAATGCCACAATACAATCCACAACAGGTGTAGGGTCAACAGGGTCAGCCCCAAACACTTCAAAATCCCTCTTGGACACATTCTGGCCACAATTTTCTCCAAGCAGAGTTCATCATCCTTGAAGTCACTCCCTGCCAAGCCTTATCTATAAGGCTTATGCAATTGAGGATAGTGAAGTCATCTTTCCAGAACTCTCTTAGGGTCAACTGAGTGTCTGAGGTCACATCAAAGCACCTTTGAAACATTGCTTTGGTGTAGAGTTTTTTGAAGTTTGCAATGATCTGCTGGTCCATGAGCTGGATGAGGGGAGAGGTATTGGGGGGCAAGAACTTTACTGTGATGAAATTAAACTCCTCCACCATTTGGTCATCCAGGTCTGGAGGATGATCAGGAGCACTGTTCATTACCAGGAGGCACATGAGTGGCAATTTCTTTGACAGGAGGTATTTTTTCACACTGGGGCCAAACACTTCACTGAACCAATCAAGGAAAATTTCCCTTGTCATATATAATTTACTCTTGGTGACACTGTTTTTCTTAAACACTATGGGATTCTCAGAGTGATACACCAGTAAAGGCTTCACTTTGAAATCCCACTAGCATTACTACAGAGCAAGAGAGTTAGCCTATCTTTCATAGGCTTGTGTCTTGCCAGTGCCTTTTCCTCCTGTGTGATATAGGTCCTCTTTGGCATTTTCTTCGAAAAAGAGGCCTGTTTTGTCAAATTGAACACTTGTTGGGGAACAAATCCTTCAATTCATGCATTAATTTTATCTGAACTTGCTGCCTCACCATGCCTTACAACACTGTACGCCACTACAACACTGTGTACGCCGCTACAACACTGTGTACGCCACTACACTTCTTGAATTTTTCAAGCCAGCCTTTGCCAGCCTTAAATTCACTAACATTAGCGCTCGTTCGAGGCATTTTCTTTACGAGACTGGCATGCAACTGCCTTGCCTTTTCGCAAATAATCGACTGCACAACACTATCTCCCGCTAGTTGATTCTCGTTGATCCACACCAACAACATTTCTCGACATCTTCCAGTGTTTGTGATCTCTGTTTCGTTATCACTTTTACCCCTTTTGCAACATCAGCTTCCTTGATTTAATTTTTCTTCACTAGGATGGAACTGATGGTTGATGCAGGCTTGCCATATAATCCTCGCGATGTTGGTCATATGTAAGCCACGTTCATATTTTTCAAGGATTTCTTTCTTGAATTCTATCGTGTTCTCACCTTCTTTACCAAAGGACTGGGATTAGTAGCTTTGTTTGAGCCTGTGGTGGCTTATTTAGCAGTCACACAGAGACAATGAATTATTATGAAATAATTCGTATCAGCTCGCAGAGTAATGTACGCTCAACCATAAACAAAGCGACACTGCCTCAGAATGCATGTGTGGGAAGTTGTGTGAGCGGCACTCAGACCTGTACCGTACCACCGATGAGAACGGAGGAGAGCAATTACAACTGAGTCGCCAATGTTTTTACTGTACCGACGGGAACGGAGAAATGCAACGAAAACCGAGCCAATATTTTTACAGAAAAAATCCGCCATAACTGAAATGAGCGAAAACAGAGCCCAACGAAAAGGGAGGGTCCACTGTATACCCATTCTTCATTTATTCAGATTTCCTACAATAAATATATTCACCCTCGCTATAAGCAAAGGACAAAAATACATTATGGCAAGTAATGTGTGTTCTATATATACATTTTTTAGCCTAGCTCTATTGTTCATTTAATATATGATAGTGTAAACATCTTATCAGGCTATGTTTCGCTGAATAAGTGGGTCCCTTCTGTACAGTGAAGATAAAAAAATATTTACGCTGATGTTCCTTGATCAAGGAACTGGAACTACCGTCCCCTCACTTGAATCAAACCTAATTACCCCCACTGCCCCTGGTGCTGTACAACTCTTACAGGTTTAGCACTTCCCCATAAATAAAATTCTACTTTCATGTAACTACATCATTAAGAAAAATGAGATTAATTTTTTTTCACACACTGGTCGTCTCCCACCGAGGAAGGGTGACCCGACAAAGAAACACTTTCACCATCACTGTTTTACCAGAGGTAACCGACATTACAGTTCAGATGCCCCTCCAAACTACAACATCCCCATCACTCCCTTGGAGTGCAGGCACTGTATTTCTCACCTCCAGGATTCAAGTCCAGCTAACCAGTTTTCCTGTATTTTTTTTGTTTTCACCTTAAGATGAACAATCCTTAATGTACAGTCAAGTGTACAATCTTAGCCTGATATTTCAAATGCCTTAAATTGTTGAAAATGCAAAGCTAGGACATACCAGGAGAAACTTTCATCTGAATCAACATAATGAACTGCTTGCTTCTTTCCAGTCTTCTTTTTACAAGTAGACAATGCCTCAGGTGTTGTAGGGCGCCTTAATTTACATTTGGAATCCATCAAAACATCCCTTCTTGTCTTCTCCTGAGCAACCTGCAGTTAAAAAAAAAAAAAAAATTAATTTTATCACACATCGGCCATCTCCCACCGAGACAGAGCGATCCAAAACAACAACAAAAGAAGAAGAAGAAGAAGAAGAAGAAGAAGAAGAAGAAGAAGAAGAAGAAGAAGAAGAAGAAGAAGAAGAAAGAAGAAGAAGAAGAAGAAGAAGAAAGAAGAAGAAGAAAGAAGAAGAAGAAGAAAAGAAGAAGAAGAAAAAAGAAGAAGAAGAAGAAGAAGAAGAGAAGAAGAAGAAGAAGAAGGAAGAAGAAGAAGAAGAAGAAGAAGAAGAAGAAGAAGAAGAAGAAGAAGAAGAAGAAGAAGAAGAAGAAGAAGAAGAAGAAGAAGAAGAAGAAGAAGAAGAAGAAGAAGAAGAAGCACTTTCACCATCACTCACTCCATCACTGTATTCCCTGATACTACAGGCTGAAATTGCAAATATCCCCACCCCTCCTTCAGGATTCAAGTCTAGATGATCAAGCCACTGATACCTAAAACCTCCATGGCGTTCCATCCACCCTGGAATATTACACCCTCTTGGTCACCCTATGCTGCTCTATCCTCTTTAAGTGCCAAAACCACTTTAACAATGCCCTCCTCTACCTTCAAAATACTTCTATAATTTGGTACATAAATTGCTTCAACAATGCACCTATTAGGAACAAAAAAGCACAATACCATGACTGGAACAATACGCAAATAACCTGCACACAGGAGAAAGAAACTTAAAACATTTTGGACAGACCTGGACCATTAACTAGTGACTAGTTAATGGTATAAGTTGGACAGAAACATTGTCATAAGTGTCTTCCTCCCATGTGCAGGTTATCTGTGTACTGCGCCTATTATTCTCCATTCATGAATTCTATAGTTCACCCAGTCTCTCGCAGACCCATTTGCCAACACGCCCCTTCCCAAATATGTGAATACCGTACTTTCACTTCCTCCATAATCCCTCCTAATCCAATCTCCAACATGAGTTAATAGAATTTTTTTTTTTTCAACAAGTCGGCCATCTCCCACCGAGGCAGGGTGACCCAAAAAAGAAAGAAAATCCCCAAAAAGAAAATACTTTCATCATCATTCAACACTTTCACCACACTCGCACATTATCACTGTTTTTGCAGAGGTGCTCAGAATACAACAGTTTAGAAGCATACACATATAAAGATACACAACATATCCCTCCAAACTGCCAATATCCCAAACCCCTGTAATAGAATTATCAGAGCTTATTGCTTGGGTAGATTTGAAAATTGGGTTGGGCAAATATTCTGTTGAAGATTGAGACACTTATGCAACATGTGGGAATCTTTATTTAAATAAAGATTCCCATATGTTGTATAATGTATCTCAATCTTCAACTTGTCGGTTTTCAAAACCATTCATCACACACATATTCTGTTAGCGGGATGGATTGTGAAGGACCTGTCTAGTATGGGCCAACAGGACTGCTGCAGTGTTTCTCCTTTATTCATCTTTAATTTCTATACTTTACACCCTCCCAAATTCCTCCATCAACCTTTGCGACTTTTCTTCAGAAGTTTGAAAAAGAAATGTGTCATCAGATTCACTATCTTTTAATCCCACACCTCCCACAAACCCAACACTCTTGTCAACAACCATCTTTTTTTTTTCTACCACATTGGCCGTTTCCCACCTAGGCAGGATGACCTGAAAAAGAAGAAACACGTTCATCATCACTCACTCAATCACTGTCTTGCCAGAGAGGTGCCGATATGTCTATACATGTTTAAACAACCAAATTTTGTAGTAAACAAATGTATGTACCCCAATATGACATAAAAAATAAAAGATATTGTGACTGGATCAATAAAATTTGCTTTAGTGCTTACTGTATCACCTGTTTCTTCATCACAATGACCAGTCTGCTTGTTGCAACCTGCAAACCCAGCAACTACCTCGCTGGACACACAAGGCCTATGGGTCACTGGCTCTTACAACCCAACAAAACTCTCAGTTGCAAGTGACACCAAAAGTACTTTCCTGTTCTTTCGGAATTTTAAATGTTTTTTTTTTCACGTTTCCTCAGTATTATGTTTTTTAACTTAGGCCACATAAAACAAGAGGGCAATTAAAAACAGTTGCATCCTACATAAAATACCAAAATTGCTTGCATAATTACCCTTGATGCAGCTCTTCGCAGTCTCCTGGGTTCCTGAATGGGACTCTGGGCATCGTTACTAGTTTGTGTGCTACCTTGGGATGACTTCTTGGCTTGTGGTGATTCTTCTGCTGAGAAACAAGGTCAAAAATACATTACAAACAATAGTTTCCTGAAACAAATTTATATTATTATATTTTATTATCACACTGGCTGATTCCCACCAAGGCAGGGTGGCCCGAAAAAGAAAAACTTTCACCATCATTCACTCCATCACTGTCTTGCCAGAAGGGTGCTTTACACTACAGTTATAAAACTGCAACATTAACACCCCTCCTTCAGAGTGCAGGCACTGTACAAATTATATACACTATTACAGGTGCTGCTCTCTTTACAATGCTCTGACATGTATTTCTGCTTTACGATGGTGTTACAGAGATCCACATTCAGTTATTGACAGGATAAACTTGTAGTCAATACTGCCATTTATTTAGTTCAGTAATTATTTGCTATTTAGTTATTCAGTGAGAGTAGTTATTTATTTATCGTGTATTCATTTTTGACTTAAAATATTTTCAATTTATGATATTCATGGGAACGTAACCCTGTCGTAAGTCGAGGAGCACTTGTGTATGAGTTTGGTCAAGTGACAGAGCGAAAGGAATGTTCATAAAACAACTAATATCTTGTAGCAACCATAATATCAAGCAAGGAAATCAATGTACAGATTTTTTTTGATCACGCTGATCATCTCCCACCAAGGCAGGGTGACCCAAATAAGCAACACTCACCATCATCACTGTCTTGCCAGAGGCACACAGATATGACAGTTCAGATGTCACTCTAAACAGCAAATACTCCAAACCCCTCCTATAGTGCAGGCACTGTACTTGCCTCCTCCATGACTCAAGTCCGGTTAACCTGTTTCTCTGACTCCCTTCACAATATATTTCCCTGCTCACACTTAAGTACCAGTTACTTCATAGTGTATAAATATTAAACTCTCACCTATTGTATCAGGTTGATGAGGTCTCTTCTGATGAGCTTTCTTCTTGCCCCTCGGTGTTTTAGGTAAGAGAGCCAGATCACTGGTGGCAAATGTCCGACGAGCGGTGCGAACCACTTCCTCCAGCCATGCAAAATGTTCCTGAAAATAAAGATAAATGAACAAGGGGAAAGACGGGAGAGGGCAGTGACACTCTGAGCACCCTATAGGTAGACTCCAGGAATGATAATATAAAAAATCCAATCCCACTCTGCAGCCAGCAGTAACAGCCTGGTTAATCAGGCCCTGATCCACCATAAAGCCTTGTCATGGATCGGGCCATGGATCCCCAAAACACTAAGAGCATTATGTATCTGCTTAGTACATTATATCAAGTCGTCGTAAGCTCCTCTCTTCTATGTGCGAGTTATTTGTACTGTATATTGCTCCAGTCACAAAATTGTGCCATTTTCTGTTATTTAAATTAATGCCATTTTTAAACAAACCCCAAAACTAAGTTATCCTGAATGTGCAGTGCGTTGTACCATACAAATCAATATTTATACAAAGCAAGTAGACTGAAAAACCAAGGAAAAAAAATACAGTATACTATATACAACTTATATCGGCCATAATTCGTTTCAGAAGGCTGTTCGAGTGCTGTTACTGAACGAATTTGTTCCCATAAGGAATAATGTAAATTAGATTAGTACGTTGCAGACCCCCAAAAATACACTTACAAAAGCTCTGTAAATTCTGGCATTCTTGTCAACCTCATCACTTTCTCACACTAGCCAAATTCTCTTACAACACTAAATACAGTGGACTCCCGGTTAACGATATTTTTTCATTCCAGAAGTATGTTCAGGTGCCAGTACTGACCGAATTTGTTCCCATAAGGAATATTGTGAAGTAGATTAGTCCATTTCAGACCCCCAAACATACACGTACAAACGCACTTACATAATTGGTCGCATTGGGAGGCGATCGTTAAGCGGGGGTCCACTGTATATATCTTTAATTCATTCACCTTGGCTTCTCACATACTTAATCATCCGCTTATGTTACCTACCGCTACGCCATTATCCGGCATATTAGTTACTCAACTTCTAGGCTATGGAAATGCTGACTGCAAACTTCAGTTAAATCCAATATTGGTTTAAAACAAGATTAGTTAAGCAAGTTTATTCAGTACACATAAATACAGTTACATAAATTATCATACATAGCGGCGTATGTGTAGATTACAAACCACGATAACCCAAAAAAATGTCAGACGAAGTGATTTATTTCCACTGGGTTAGGCTGCTAGATTAGTTTTGGTGTAAAACCTAACAAATAAACTTACCTCAAAGTTATTATTACATTCTGCTATCTTCTTCTGAGCAGTGAGGTAAAGTTCAAATAAATGATCCACGGCAGCCATTATCTGGAAAGAGAAAAACGATCACTGTAGTATCAAATCGAGGATATACAGGTGCTGTTCGATTCACAAAGACCCTGAGTTACGATATTTTGACTTTATGATGACGAAAGAGCGATTACTTTGGAGATGATTATTATTATAATCATGGGGAAGCGCTATTATTATAATCATGGGGGAGCGCTAAACCCGTAGGATTATACAGTGCCTGTGGGGGGGATGGAAGGTATTCAGGCTTAATTCAGGGAACTAGAGCACAGCTCCAATTACCTTTTCAATACTGGTATTTAAAGTAATTGTGTATTTAGTTATTCACTGAGAGCAGTTATTTATTTAGCGTATCATGTTCGACTTACAATATTTTCAACTTACGACGGGTTTGTTGTATATTAAGTCGAGGAGCACTCGTATTGCAAGAATTTTATGGAAACTGATTCAAGCACAAAATAAACATTGATAAATGTCGAACATGTGCAATGTTTGGCTGTTTTTATTCTGGAGACGTTTCGCCAGCCAGTGGCTTCTTCAGTCCAATACAGGAAGACAAGAAGGAGTAGTTTGAGATAATTAGTCTCTCAGCCTGGAGTTGATGTGTTTAGTCCATTATGGTCCTTCAATCTTGTCCCCCAGGATGCCACCCACACCAGTCCACTAACACCCAGGATGCCACCCACACCAGTCCACTAACACCCAGGATGCCACCCACACCAGTCCACTACCACCCAGGATGCCACCCACACCAGTCCACTAACACCCAGGATGCCACCCACACCAGTCCACTAACACCCAGGATGCCACCCACACCAGTCCACTAACATCCAGGATGCCACCCACACCAGTCCACTAACACCCAGGATGCCACCCACACCAGTCCACTAACACCCAGGATGCCACCCACACCAGTCCACTAACACCAGGATGCCACCCACACCAGTCCACTAACACCCAGGATGCGACCCACACCAGTCCACTAACACCCAGGATGCCACCCACACCAGTCCACTAACACCCAGGATGCCACCCACACCAGTCCACTAACACCCAGGATGCCACCCACACCAGTCCACTAACACCCAGGATGCCACCCACACCAGTCCACTAACATCCAGGATGCCACCCACACCAGTCCACTAACACCCAGGATGCCACCCACACCAGTCCACTAACACCCAGGATGCCACCCACACCAGTCCACTAACACCCAGGATGCCACCCACACCAGTCCACTAACACCCAGGATGCCACCCACACCAGTCCACTAACATCCAGGATGCCACCCACACCAGTCCACTAACACCCAGGATGCCACCCACACCAGTCCACTAACACCCAGGATGCCACCCACACCAGTCCACTAACACCCAGGATGCCACCCACACCAGTCCACTAACACCCAGGATGTGACCCTCACCAGTCCACTAACACCCAGGATGCCACCCACACCAGTCCACTAACACCCAGGATGCGACCCACACCAGTCCACTAACACCCAGGAGTGACCCACACCAGTCCACTAACACCAGGATGCCACCCACACCAGTCCACTAACACCCAGGATGCCACCCACACCAGTCCACTAACACCCAGGATGCCACCCACACCAGTCCACTAACACCCAGGATGCTACCCACACCAGTCCACTAACACCCAGGATGCCACCCACACCAGTCCACTAACATCCAGGATGCCACCCACACCAGTCCACTAACACCCAGGATGCCACCCACACCAGTCCACTAACACCCAGGATGCCACCCACACCAGTCCACTAACACCCAGGATGCCACCCACACCAGTCCACTAACACCCAGGATGCCACCCACACCAGTCCACTAACACCCAGGATGACCCCACCAGTCCACTAACACCCAGGATGCCACCCACACCAGTCCACTAACACCCAGGATGCGACCCACACCAGTCCAATAACACCCAGGATGTGACCCACACCAGTCCACTAACACCCAGGATGCCACCCACACCAGTCCACTAACACCCAGGATGCCACCCACACCAGTCCACTAACACCCAGGATGCCACCCACACCAGTCCACTAACACCCAGGATGCCACCCACACCAGTCCACTAACACCCAGGATGCTACCCACACCAGTCCACTAACACCCAGGATGCCACCCACACCAGTCCACTAACACCCAGGATGCCACCCACACCAGTCCACTAACACCCAGGATGCCACCCACACCAGTCCACTAACACCCAGGATGTGACCCTCACCAGTCCACTAACACCCAGGATGCCACCCACACCAGTCCACTAACACCCAGGATGCTACCCACACCAGTCCACTAACACCCAGGATGCCACCCACACCAGTCCACTAACACCCAGGATGCCACCCACACCAGTCCACTAACACCCAGGATGCTACCCACACCAGTCCACTAACACCCAGGATGCCACCCACACCAGTCCACTAACACCCAGGATGCCACCCACACCAGTCCACTAACACCCAGGATGCCACCCACACCAGTCCACTAACACCCAGGATGCCACCCACACCAGTCCACTAACACCCAGGATGCCACCCACACCAATCCTCACAAAATTAACCTAAGTTGTGGGAAATGCTCTACATAACCAGGAACTTCCTATATAGTATGTCATTGTTGTGAGCTATGGTCTGTATAAGTTGTACCATCTACTGGTAGAAATAATAATTATTATTATTATTATTATTATTATATAATGTCATTAATGTCAACTATGGAATGTATAAGTTATATATTTGTAGAAATAAATATTATAAACCCATAGGGGTCATAATAATGAATAGAAAGCACTCGGGTATGATCCAGGGGAGAGGTAGCTCCAATGACCTGGATCAAGAACCTCTGAATATCCCTGGAGTGATATATAAATCAAAAGGTAAACAATGTCTGAATGAGTGTCGCTCTTATCTTGCGACTTAACTCACTCTGGAAGGTAAAATAATAAGTCTTATATACACTACACTCGAGGAGAAACACTCACTCACCTTTATTAATGTCTAACTTGGTGGTAAAGCTCCATTAAGAGGGTGAAAATAGGATAAATAAGTAAGAGAGGTGCTGTGCGCGGCACCAAAACATTAACCTGGAGAACAACTTTTAAACTGACCAATCAGAGAGCAGTAAACAATCAGACTAGAGTCTTTATTATCTCACCAGCGAGATTCTTTATTATCTAATTAATTATTACGGATTAATAATTACTCTTATGTATCAGATCAACTAGAACCAATTTTAGATGTATGATCTTATGCTTTAAATGATATGCTTCTCCTTTTTATTATTTTATTCTCCCTTTTACTGGGTCATGAAGGGGATCACTGGAGAGGAAAAAAAAAACATGTCTGACCTCCTCCTTGACAACATACTGAGACATGACAAACCTAATTTTATTTACTTTCAACCTCAATAATAATAGCATCTATATCAAAAATATTTTTTTTTAAAAATCTGCAAATAATTTACTACGGGTTTTATAGTAAGTTTTGACTTTTTACAGATATATTTTATGCATAGGTCAATTGGTACATAATGTCTACCTACCTAACTTTTTTAATAATTTACTAACGAATAATTATAAAAATAATTAACAACGAAATATTATGTAAATAAAAATATATATTTTATTCAGATTATTGGTAACTAAATGTGCAACAAGAAAGTCACTGTCTGCTGAGAAAGGTCACTGTCTGCTGATTCACTGGCTCTACTGAGTCACTGTCTACTGAGTCACTGTCTGCTGAGTCACACTCTACTGAGTCACTGTCTCTGCTGAGTCACTGTGTTGAGTCACTGTGTCTGCTGAGTCACTGTCTCTGCCGAGTCACTGTCTGCTGAGTCACTGTCTCTACTGAGTCACTGTCTCTGCTGAGTCACTGTCTCTGCTGAGTCACTGTGTTTGCTGAGTCACTGTCTGCTGAGTCACACTCTCTATTGAGTCACTGTGTCTGCTGAGTCACTGTCTCTGCTGAGCCACTGTCTCGACTGAGACACTGTCTGCTGATTCACTGTCTCTGAGTCACTGTCTACTGAGTCACTGTCTGCTGAGTCACACTCTACTGAGTCACTATCTCTGCTGAGTCACTGTGTCTGTTGAGTCACTGTGTCTGCTGAGTCACTGTCTCTGCCGAGTCACTGTCTGCTGAGTCACTGTCTCTGCTGAGTCACTGTGTTTGCTGAGTCACTGTCTGCTGAGTCACACTCTCTATTGAGTCACTGTATCTGCTGAGTCACTGTCTCTGCTGAGCCACTGTCTCGACTGAGACACTGTCTGCTGATTCACTGTCTCTACTGAGTCACTGTCTGCTGAGCCACTGTCTCTACTGAGTCACTGTCTGCTGAGTCACTGTCTCTACTGAATCACTGTCTGCTGATTCACTGTCTCTACTGAGTCACTGTCTGCTGATTCACTGTCTCTACTGAGACACTGCTGATTCACTGTCTCTACTGATTCACTGTCTCTACTGAGTCACTGTCTGCTGATTCACTGTCTCAACTGAGTCAATGTCTGCTGATTCACTGTCTCTGCTGAGACACTGTCTGCTGAGTCACACTCTCTGCTGAGTCACTGTCTGCTGACTCACTGTCTCTACTGAGTCAATGTCTGCTGATTCACTGTCTCAACTGAGTCACTGTCTGCTGATTCACTGTCTCTACTGAGTCACTGTCTGCTGATTCACTGTCTCTACTGAGACACTGTCTGCTGATTCACTGTCTCTACTGAGTCACTGTCTGCTGATTCACTGTCTCTACTGAGTCAATGTCTGCTGATTCACTGTCTCTTCTGAGACACTGTCTGCTGAGTCACACTCTCTACTGCGTCACTGTCTGCTGATTCACTGTCTCTACTGAGTCAATGTCTGCTGATTCACTGTCTCAACTGAGTCACTGTCTGCTGATTCACTGTCTCGGCTGAGACACCAAGACTGGAGGATCACTGGACACTCATTCTGTCCACTAGTCAATGATGTGATCCTGCATCGAGAACTGTTTTGTCCATTATCCGACAACTATATGCTATTCAGATTCCAACACATAAAGAGGACCTCATCCACTACAATGATATCTGATGGTCCATACCGATATACAACCAGACATAAATAAAATGTAATGCTGGGCCCAGACCGTCAACCAGGTCCTAAATGATGTAAACTGGGAAGGTCGTCAACCAGGTCCTGAATGATGTAAACTGGGAAGGTCGTCAACCAGGTCCTAAATGATGTAAACTGGGAAGGTCGTCAACCAGGTCCTAAATGAAGTAAACTGGGAAGGTATCCTAAGCAACACAGATACAAAGCTATGTCTAGAACAAATTAACTCTGTGGCACTCGAGGTATGATCAAGGCCTTTAAGGAAAATGAAGAGAAGATGTAAACTAGAAAGAGAGAGGCGCTTCCTATACAGGTGAAGGCGAAAAATAACAGAGTGGCTAAAAGAGGCCAATATATCTGTAATACGAACGGAGACACTGGTCAGAGAAATAGCAAACATCGAACTTAAGCTAAAGGAATCTTACAGGAGTCATGAAACGCAGGAAGAACTAAAAGTCATAAATGAAATTGAAACCCAAAATATTTACCGACTGATAGCACTAACGTCCCATATAAAAATTTTTGAAAAGGTTCTAAGAAGCAAGATCATTAGCTATCTAAATGTCCATAAGTTACACAACCCAGAGCAGCATGGGTTAGAGCAGGTCGTTTCTGTCTGTCCCAACTACTGGACCACTATGACAAGGTCCTGGATGCTCTAGAAGACAAAGAAAACGCAGAAGTAGTATGCACACTTTGCAAAATCCTTCGACAAGTGTGACCATGGCGTAATAGCGCACAAACTGCGTGCTAAAGGAATAACAGGAAAAGTTGGTAGATGGATCTATAATTTCCTCACAAACAGAACACAAAGAGTGGTAGTCAACAGAGTAAAGTCTGAGGCAGCTACGGTGAAAAGCTCTGTTCCACAAGGCACAGTGCTGGCTCCCAGTGTTCCACAAGGTACAGTACTGGCTCCCAGTGTTCCACAAGGTACAGTACTGGCTCCCAGTGTTCCACAAGGCACAGTACTGGCTCCCAGTGTTCCACAAGGTACAGTACTGGCTCCCAGTGTTCCACAAGGTACAGTACTCGCTCCCAGTGTTCCACAAGGTACAGTACTCGCTCCCAGTGTTCCACAAGGTACAGTACTGGCTCCCAGTGTTCCACAAGGTACAGTACTGGTTCTCAGTGTTCCACAAGGCACAGTACTCGCTCCCAGTGTTCCACAAGGTACAGTACTGGCTCCCAGTGTTCCACAAGGCACAGTACTGGCTCCCAGTGTTCCACAAGGTACAGTACTGGCTCCCAGTGTTCCACAAGGTACAGTACTCGCTCCCAGTGTTCCACAAGGCACAGTACTCGCTCCCAGTGTTCCACAAGGTACAGTACTGGCTCCAGTGTTCCACAAGGCACAGTACTGGCTCCCAGTGTTCCACAAGGCACAGTACTCGCTCCCAGTGTTCCACAAGGCACAGTACTCGCTCCCAGTGTTCCACAAGGTACAGTACTGGCTCCCAGTGTTCCACAAGGCACAGTACTGGCTCCCAGTGTTCCACAAGGCACAGTACTCGCTCCCATCTTGTTTCTCATCCTCATATCTGACATGGACAAGGATGTCAGCCACAGCACCGTGTCTTCCTTTGCAGATGACACCCGAATCTGCATGACAGTGTCTTCCATTGCAGACACTGCAAGGCTCCAGGCAGACACTGCAGACACTGCAAGGCTCCAGGCAGACATTGCAGACACTGCAAGGCTCCAGGCAGACATTGCAGACACTGCAAGGCTCCAGGCAGACATTGCAGACACTGCAAGGCTCCAAGAAGACATTGCAGACACTGCAAGGCTCCAGTCAGACATTGCAAGGCTCCAGGCAGACGTTCAAGACACTGCAAGGCTCCAGGCAGACATTGCAGACACTGCAAGGCTCCAGGAGGACACTGCAGACACTGCAAGGCTCCAGGCAGACATCAACCAAATCTTTCAGTGGGCTGCAGAAATCAATATGAAGTTCAATGGAGAGAATATAGGATGGATAATAAGAACCATCAAAACTAGGGACGCCATGCCCATGATAATTCTCTTCAAATCGTTTGCTCTCTCTAGGCTGGAATATTGCTGTACACTAACTGCTCCCTTCAAGGCAGGCGAAATTGCAGACCTGGAGAATATACAGAGAACTTCCCTGGAACGTATAAGTACGATAAACACGTAAATTACTGAGAACGGTTGAAGTTCCTTGATTTGTACTCCCTGGAATGTAGAAGAGAAAGATACATGTTAATATACACTTGGTAAATCCTAGAGGAACTAGTCCCAAATCTGTACACGAAAATAACTCCCTACGAAAGCAAAAGACTTGGCAGGAGATACAATATTCCCCCAACGAAAAGCAGGGGCGCCACTAGTAGCAGTAACAACCTGGTTGATCAGGTCCTGATTCACCACGAGGCCTGGTCATGGACCGGGCCACGGGGGCATTGAATCCTAAAACCCCCTCCAGGTATGTCTGCTGAGAGTGTTAGAAGGAGCGCTAAACCAGCAAGGGGGTGAAAAATAGAGTGGGGGAGGACGTGCTGGTAGCCACACACAACACTTTTCTTAACCCACATATCAAAAACCACATTTGCTTCCCCCTTCCCTAAAAAAATAAAAAAATCATTCCTGTTTGCCAGCCATCATGGCGTCTGATTGAGCTGTAGAGTTAGGTCAGGTCAATAAAAAACCCTGGATGGCCATAAATAACATTACCAGTGCCAATCTCTGTTATCGTGGCCCTAATCCATGAAATCTTAACACGCCTGGTGTGTTATGGCACCTGGGCTTCTGCTCGATATTATGCTTATTTATTAACAGTAATACAGGTGGCACTACCCTCCGGGAAGGTGCCATGAATGTTGCATCGATTTGGGGCGGAATATAATAGTGCAGTGAGTCTGCACAGAACTGTACTACATCCTCGCTAAACCCAACCTGGTGTGGACCATTTAGGTGTGGTGGATAAACTGGGTACTGGACCAGTTAGGGTTTAGAATATACTAGGTACTGGACCAGTTATATATCCTTTCTAGACCCAACTAACTCTGGACCAGTTATGGTATAGGATAAA